TGGTCCGATCCAGCAGGGGTCTTCTTAAGTTCTTACGAAGGCCTCGGCCTCTCTGCCCTGTTGTTGGCTGTCCAGAGGAACTGGTTGGCCACGGTGTGAGACAGGATGCTGGACTAGACGGACGACTGGTCCGATCCAGCAGGGGTCTTCTTAAGTTCTTACGAAGGCCTTGGCCTCTCTGTCCCGTTGTTGGCCGTCCAGAGGAACTGGTTGGCCACGGTGTGAGACAGGATGCTGGACTAGTCGGACGACTGGTCCGATCCAGCAGGGGTCTTCTTAAGTTCTTACGAAGGCCTCGGCCTCTCTGCCCTGTTGTTGGCTGTCCAGAGGAACTGGTTGGCCACAGTGTGAGACAGGATGCTGGACTAGACAGACGACTGGTCCGATCCAGCAGGGGTCTTCTTAAGTTCTTACGAAGGCCTCGGCCTCTCTGTCCTGTTGTTGGCTGTCCAGAGGAACTGGTTGGCCACAGTGTGAGACAGGATGCTGGACTAGACGGACGACTGGTCCGATCCAGCAGGGGTCTTCTTAAGTTCTTACGAAGGCCTCGGCCTCTCTGCCCTGTTGTTGGCCGTCCAGAGGAACTGGTTGGCCACGGTGTGAGACAGGATGCTGGACTAGACGGACCACTGGTCCGATCCAGCAGGGCTCTTCTTATAAGGAAGTGAGTAGGAGCCCCCGTCGACACAAGAGGGCAGTCTCAGCAAGGGGGCAGGAGCTACCAATGTCGCAAACCAAGAGGAAGCTGTGGGGAGCCTGCTCCTTCTTTTCCCCCTCTGCCAGGGGTGGGGCTGGGGAAACTGGGGGCAGGGCCTTTCCCAGTCCTGTTTTGCCTCCCGGTCTGCTGCTGGTTAGGATGCCATCCTAAGAAGAGTTAGCGCCTTCTAAGTCCATCGCCCTGTTTGATCTGCAAACTGAATCGAGGTATAGCTCATTAACACCTGCTCTCCTCCTCCTCTTCTAGGGTTGACAGGGCCCCTCCCCCGGCCACTGAGAGGGGATGGGGGGGGATAGGGTTGCCAGCTCCAGGTTGGGAAACTCCTGGAGACGTGGGGGTGGAGCCTGGGGAGGACAGGGACCTTACATGGGTATAATGGCACAGAGTCCGCCTTCCAAAGCATCCATTTTCTCCAGGGGAACTGATCTCTCCTGTCTGGATATGAGCTGTAATTCCAGGGGATCCCCAGGTCCCACCTGGAGGCTGGCATCCGTGTCCTCTCTCCTGCTCCCCCAGGCCAGCGGATAGCTTGGCTGATCGGCTTCCTAGAGAAGAGGGGACGGACCCGTCACTCTGAGCTCCAGTTCCCAACACACAGCCTTGCCAACTCTTCCTCCCCCCCCCCCCAAAACCCCACCACCATTTAAAAACCCCTCAGGACTTTTTTTTTATCTTCCGATCCCTGCTTCCTAGAGCATGCCATTTCCTGGAAGAGAGCTGCATTTGACCAATGAATACAACAGAAATTTTTGGGATTCACAGCCTTAACATACCGTTTGTTCTATTCAGAACTACGTTTTTTTAAAAAAAAGATAATACAGATTTCTGTTTTTTTCCCCCATTTGGGAAAAATGACATTGATACAGGGTACAATTGAAAGGAAGAGGTGGGGGCTCAAATACCCCTCCCAGCATTGCCAGGTTCCCCCCCCCCCCCGGCCCCTGGCAGGGGATGGGAGGGTAGGGTTGCCAGATCCAGATTGGGAAATTCCTGTAGATTTGGTACCCTCAGTGGGGTACCAATGCCATAGAATCCACCCTCCAATGCATTCCGTTTCTCCACAGGAACTGGTCACTGTAGTCTGGGGATGAGCAATAATTCTGGGAGATCCCCAGGTCCCACCTGGAGGCTGGCATCCCCCCCACAAGCCTTAAAAGCTTTGCACACAGACTTGCAGGTGTTCTTTGGTGTAGTGGTGAAGTGCGCGGACTCTAATCTGGGAGAACCGGGGTTGATTCCCCACTCCTCCACTTGCACCTGCTGGATGTTCTTGGGCAAGCCATAGTTCTATCAGAGCTGTTCTCTCAAGGACAGTTCTCTCAGAGCTCTCTCGGCCCCCACCTACCTCCCAGGGTGTCTGTTGTGGGGAGGGGAAGGGAAAGGAGTTTGCAAGCTGCTCTGAGACTCCTTCAGGTAGTGAAGGGCGGGGTATAGATCCAATCTCGTCTCCTCCTCTCTTCTCTTAATTTGCACAAAACTGTTCCAAGACAGGAAGACCTTTAGGATCTTTCGGAGGCAGCCATCTGGAGTCGGCTGCTGTTTCCCCAGCTCTTTGCGGATCCATCTCGCCTTGTGTCTGAACGTGAACCTGGGCTGCAGAAAAGATCAGGCTAGAGGGGCAGGAAACGGGCAGGCAGGAGACGGTTCCTGCTGCAGCAGAATTCCTCTGGCCCCCCTCCTTTTCCCGCCCCCCCCCCAATTCTCTGCTGTCGTCTGTCTGCTGGGCTAGACAGGAGCCAAGAGGAGACGTGAGCCGCTTGCTGAAGGACCAGCCAAACGTGCAGAGGGACCCTGGTGATTCATCCTGGAGGCGTAGGAGGAGGGTCTGTCTCGGAAAACCAATCCCCACCCCCCCTCCTTGGCAGCTGCTGCTGGGCTGGTCGTACCCTTGTGGCTCAAAGTGGTCACAGCGGCTCAGCTTTCGAGCCGGGTTCAGATGCCCTCTGACGTGCACGGACGCTGCAGCACGGGTGAAGGAAAGAAAGAAGACAGATCCTTCTGCCAACAGCGTTTCGGAGTGTAGGTTCCGAGGGCCTCGCCACATGTTGCCAGGTACCCAGGTCTGCCCCGGATCCTGTCAAGCTGGATGTGCTATGGGCGTTCCACGTGGAAACATAAATCCAGGGTTTGTGGGGGCCGGTTCGGCTTGGGGCTGCGGCATGCGAGGAGGGAGGGAGGTTTCCCGCCTCCCCGTCGTGCCTCTTTCTTGACCTGAAATGGAGACACTGCTTGCCCTGCTGGAGAAATGTACTTATACGGTGGGATGGCACGGGAATCCCCCAATGGGGCAAATAGCAGCTCTCGAATTTCAGGTTGGGAAACTAGCCCCGGGCAGCAGCTGAAACCCCCGTCCCCCACACACTTCAGCCCCCCCCGTGCCTGAGAATTAAGTCTCAGAATTCTGTGTTTAGAACGTCTGGTTCCGGGACGTCAGAAGCAGTACAGTGTATAGTTCGACCTTCATGCCCTGCAGGTGACAGTTTGGGGGTGTCTGACGAAGGGAGCGTTGACCCTCAAGAGCCAATGCCCCCAAAACCTTCTTGTTCTGTAAGGTGCTACTGTTCTGGGTTGTGCGTGTGTTGGAATCGACCTTGTCTTCCCCACCACCTTTCTGCATTTGGGGAGATCCGGGGGAGATCCGGGCCCTGCGGGACCTTGAGCAGTTCCGCAGGGCCTGCAAAATGGAGCTCTTCCGCCAGGCTTTTGAGTAGGAGCCGCCGCCCTACTATACCACCACCGTCAAGACATCTGAATGGATGCATTGACGGGGCCCCAGGAAGAACTTGGAATTACATCAGAAACGCCGTGGCCACTGGATATGTACGCTGAGAATACCAGCTCGAGTCGTGGGGATACCATCTTGGATCTAGGACACTAGTAACTGGATAGAGCACTTTAGTCTTAGTTTTAATGTTTTATTATATTTTTATGTTTTTACTTATGGCTAGACTAATGATCTGGCCTCGGTTAGCTGCCCTGAGCTCACTGGGGAGGGCGGGATATAAGTGTGAAAAATAAATAATAAATAAATGTGTTGGCTCTTCTGAGCAAAGCCGACGCGTGTGCGGTGGGTGTGCAAATCGATCTTGGCAGAAGGGTCTGAGGAATGGGTGGCAGCCAGGGTTCCCTCTAAGCTGAGTTAGCGTGAGCCAGCTCACAGTTTTTTTAGCCTCCAGCTCACGCATTTTTGTCTCCGCTCACAGAGGAGGGCTCCAGAGCAGACTAACTGATGCAGCAGCCAAATCGCTCGCTCACAGCTTCATTGCCAGGAGCTCACAAAGTAGGATTTTTGCTCACAAGACTCCACAGCTTAGAGGGAACATTGGTGGCAGCCCAAACTAGCACCATCCTGAATCCCCCCTCTCATCCTAATCTGCCTTGCAGGGTTGTTCTGAGGTCAGATGAGGGGAGGAGATAAATGCATACTTCCTTGAGGTCCTTGAAGAAAGGATAACATGTAATGTCGACATTTGTTCATGGGATGACATGAAGTAGTCGGCAAGGTTGATGAGTCCCATAAGAGTTACTGCAAGGATCTATAAAACCTGGAACGAAAAATATTCAACTATATTATAGGCCTCCTTTGTATTTCATAGGTCTTCTGTAAATCAGCTACTGAGCAGGGGTAGGTCGAATGTGGTGGGCACATTCAGGGCTCTTTTTGTAGCAGGAACTCATTTGCATATTAAGTGACACACCCCTAATGTAGCCAATCCTCCAAGAGCTTACAGTAGCCCCTGTAAGAAGAGCTCTGTAAGCTCTTGGAGGATTGGCTACATTAGGGGTGTGTGGCCTAATATGCAAAGGAGTTCCTGCTACAAAAAGAGCCGTCAGACCCTTGGTCCAGCCAGGTCAGTATTATCTATTCTGACTGGAGGCTGCTCTCCAGGTCTCAGGCAGAGGTCTTTCACTTCCCCTCCTACCTGGTCCTTTTGACTAAGGATGCCAGGGATTGAACCTGCTGGGACCTTCTGCATGCCAAGCAGATATTCCACCACTGGAAACTACGGTTCTTTGCAGGCTGCTCAAGATCCGTGTCTGTGACCTATTGGTATCTTTATCAAACTGCAATTCTCAGAGGATCCATGGCAAACCGGTATAAAAATGGAAGGTCTCTCTGCTATTTGGACCCCGAAGATCTCTGTTACGGTTTCAGGTCTCCGCTCTGCAAATTGAACCCATGATGTCTGTTTGCTCACGCCCAATTTTTCCCTGTGAGATGTACGTATGTTTTTCACGGTTCTTCCTGTCTCAATAGGCATTACACATGCAGACGATATACGTTGTAAGCTCAAATTTGCATATAAAAACCATACAGCTGCCTACACAGCGTGGGCAATTGACTCTCCCAATCTCACAGCAAAAAGCGGAGAGGCAAAACATTCCACAGATCTAAAAAGAAACCAGAGGGGCTGCTCGACCCTCCTCATTAGAACGTCACTCTCTCAATTTTCTCTTTCTGCGCTATAAATATTCTTGCAGCTATGAAGAGATAACCATCAGATCAGCTCGCCTTTTGCTAGTCATGCCAAATTGGGCTTTCTGACTCATCCTGGGCTGTGTCCAGACCGTGATACCATCCCTCTTCCAAAAGTGGTTGGCTTGGCGGGAGAGGAGTTGAGTCATCATTTGAAGGAACGATGTGCACGCTACGGCTTCTGTGCTTTCGTATACATCAAAAATTAGTCTGTGACGAATTTGGCCCCTATTGAACAATTGCAAATAGCTGCCCTCAGGATAAGTATGGCGCAAATGAATGTTTTAAGCGTTTGGCTGCTGCCTGTTTGCGACTTAGGGCAGGCTCTGTTAGCCGAGTGACATTTTAACGGTAGAGAAGACGACGGAGAGATTGGATTTATACCCCGCCCTCCACTACCCAAAGGAGTCTCAGAGCGGCTCACAATCTCCTTTCCTTTCCCCTCCCCACAACAGACACCCTGTGAGGGAGGTGGGGCTGAGAGAGCTCTTGACAGCACAGCTCTGAGAGAACTGTGACTGACCCAAGGTCACACCAGCAGCTGCACGTGGAGGAGTGGGTGAATCAAGCCCGGTTCTCCCAGATTGGAGTCCACACCCTTAACCACTACAGCAAACTGGCTCTCTGGGCAAAGAGTAGGTTGTGTGATGCTTACAGTGAGAGATTTCAGTAGCCGCTGGGAGAGAGGTGGAAAACCAGTTGGTTTGCGGGGGAACAAAATAGACCGCATGCAGAGTTAGGGTTGGCAACCTCCAGCTGGTGGCAGGATATCTCCTGGGATTCCAACTGATTTCCAAGTGAGAGATCAGTTCCCCTGGAGAAAAGGGCCGCTTTGGAAGGTGGGCTCTATGGCACGATACCCCACTGAAGTCCCTCCCCTTCTCAAGCCCCGCCCTCTCAGGCTCCACCCCCAAAATCTCCAGGTATTTCCCAGCCTAGAGCAGCCCACCTGATGCAGGGTCCAGGGGCAGGAATGTTAATATGGTCCAGGATTACAAACTGGCAAGTTGAGAAAGCAGGATTGGCAAGAAGTCAGGAGGGAGAAAGGAACTGCAGTGGCTCAAGTGGTTAAGACGCTGAACTGCAGGCTGTGGAAGGTCGGTAGTTCAGCAGTTCGAGACCCGGGTTGCCGCATGACGGAGTGAGCTCCCGTCTCTAGTTCCAGCTCCTGCCAACCTAGCAGTTTGAAAGCAAGAAATTGCAAGTAGATAAATAGGTACCACTTCGGTGGGAAGGTAACAGCGTTCCGTGCACCTTGGTGTTTAGTCATGCCGGCCACATGACCACGGAAACGTCTTCGGACAGCGCTGGCTCTTTGGCTTGGAAACGGAGATGAGCACCGCAACCCTAGAGTCGGACTCGACTGGCTTTCGAGCAAGGGAACCTTTACCTTTTACAGGAGGGAGAGGGGTCGGGGAGGGGGTTAAAACATCCACTGCTTCACCTGTTGTAGCTGAAAAGGAGAGACAAAGATGGGCGCCTTCAGATGCTTCTCTGCAGATCCTAAAACAATTTCTGGCAGCGTCAAACAGACAGAGAGAGAGTTGCCAAAGTGTCTTTTGCGTGGCATTTCTGATGTGCACAACTCTTAAATTTAGTTCAACCTTGCACTATCCCTGCAAGGTGGGATGCCTCTGTTCTCACGTGGAACACTGGCTATTTAATTGTCTTTCCCCTCTCTTCCCCTTCCAGGTTACAGTGGCTGGCTGAACCTCACCGAAATTGACCCAGATGAGGAAGTGCAAGGGGAACTTCACCTCCGAATTGAAATCGTAGGCAGTGAGGCGGCCAAGAAACTGCGCTGCCAAGTGTTTGATGCTCGGTAAGAATGACTTGGGTGGGCCAGAGGGGAACGGAGCTTTGAAAGACGGCTGGGCCTAGATGAAAATGGAGGTTGGAGAAGGCTAAGGGAAACAGAGCAAGGCCTGAAGTGGACGTGAGAGTGAAAAGAATGGGGGCTCCGATCAGGGGTCATTTCGTAGAAAAAGAGGTGCAGGAGCTCATTAGCATCACTCATTTGCATCACTCATTTGCATATGCCGCACCCCCTGACATCACTGGAAGTGTGTCAGAAGAAGGCAACACCCATCACTCGGGCTCCACTGGACTGTTTTGGATTGCTAGCTATTGGGGGGGGGAGTGCAGATCTGTCCTCACAGAGGAGGGAGAGCTTGTACCTGAATAAAACTTGGTCTTAAAGGTACTACTGGACTGTTTTGGCCTGGGGGGGTGGGCTCTGCAACTTACCTGGCTGCTTCTTGCTCTGACTGAGGGCTGCTGGGAGCAGGGGGTGGGGCTTGTTGCATGTGCCCGCCCCCTGGGCTCTTTACTGCCAGAGCTCCGCTCCTGTGCGCTCCTGCAGGAAATGACCCCTGGCTCTGATTATGGCTGGTTCCAGGCATGAGGGACTCGGCCAGGTGTCTCTTGGTGGGACCACATCACCACCGGATCTCCTGGTGATCCCCAGGAAAGGGGGGGGAGAGCATCGGTTTGATAGCAGTGGCCACCCTCTCAATTGTGTCCAGTTTGGTGTAGTGGTTAAGAGTGGGGTGGACTCTAATCTTGAGAACTGGGTTTGATTCCCCACTCCTCCACATGCAGCCAGCTGGGTGACCTTAGGTCAGTCACAGCTCTCTCAGAGCTCTCTCAGCCCCACCTACCTCATTGGGTGTCTGCTGTGAGGAGAGGAAGGGGAGGGAATTCTAAACTGCTCTGAGACTCCGAGTGAAGGGTGGGATCTTCTCCTCTTCCTCCTCCTCCTCCTCTATGGGGCAGGAAGCAACAGTGGGAACACTCCAAAACAGGAGGCCTTTTGCAGCTGACTAGCTGTGGGAACTCCAAAGCTAGACTTGGCTTAGCTCAGTGATCTTTGACTGTCTTCCAACCACAGGATTCCTTGGCTAAAAAGCGGGAACGTCTTTCTGAGGAGAAAAGAATTCTTATCTCGAGCCAGTTCTTGTAGCTCAGTTGTTTATTTTTTCCTCTTCAACATTTCCATAGACGGCTAGCGTGTTAAACGTCCCCCTCCCTTGTGTGAAAGTGGACAATTGAAGCTTTTCATGGCAGGGAGGTCAAGAACATCAGCTGGGAAATAACATCCGCATGAAGCCTCTTTTCTTTTAAAGGGACAGGGCCCCCCCCCCCCCCCCCGCTGTTAGCAACTCTGTGTAATGCAGGAGGGAAGGATTACTAAAGGTACTACTGGGCTTTTTAGTATTTTAGGGAAACAAACAGACTCAAGTGGTTAAATTAAAACCAGTCCTCACTATTACCTTAAAATTCAGCCTCACGAGATAAGGTTTGAGCTCTGTATTATACCCAGTTCTCCCAGATTAGAGTCTGCGCTCCTAACCACTACACCAAACTGGCAGGACCAAGGGCCTGATTCAGTAGAAGGCAGCTTCCTGTGTATGTTCAGATTATGTTGGTGAATGATCAAAATCCCTATAATGGGAATGAAAAAGGATAAACGTGTATAGGTCTTGGAGGGAGAGCAGGGAGAGGCACGGTGTAACGGAGCCCATGATGCAGTGTGACTTTGAAGAGACTTCATCTTTTTCTTTCTCGGCTCTTTACCTTTCTTCCGGCCGGGAGTCAGTTGGAACATTAAAGTGACCTAAAGGTAAAGGTAAAGGTTCCCTTGCTCGAAAGCCAGTCGAATCCAACTCTAGGGTTGCGGTGCTCATCTCCGTTTCTAAGCCAAAGAGCCAGCGCTGTCCGAAGACGTTTCCGTGGTCATGTGGCTGGCATGACTAAACACCAAGGCGCATGGAACGCTGTTACCTTCCCACCGAAGTGGTACCTATATATCGCAATTTCTTGCTTTCGAACTGCTAGGTTGGCAGGAGCTGGAACCAGAGACGGGAGCTCACTCCGTCATGCGGCACACTCGGGTCTCGAACGGCTGAACTACCGACCTTCCACAGCCTGCAGTTCAGCGTCTTGACCACTTGAGCCACCGCAGCTCCTAAAGTGACCTAGGGCCTGATTAAGCCCCAGTGGCCCTAACTGTACTTCAGAGACTTGGAGATGAATCGAGCAGCCAACGAGATGTTGCTGGGGTCGCTGGGGCTTGGCTTGGCAAGCTCTTGTCTTTCAGTGGCTCTCCTGGGCGGTGGCCCACCAAAACGCTTCATATTGAGCTAAAAGATTTGGCTCCCATTTGAGAGACTGCTGAGAGTTCGTCAGGGTTTCCCTGCCCTGTCCAGTCTGTGCTGTGGAAAGCTTTGCACTGGGAAAGGGTTGGTGGAAGTACAGAAAAACGGTAATGCCGTGGAGAGATCAGGCCACATTCCTCCGCTGTGGGGATTTTGGGTGGTGGAGGGATTCTGCTAGTCAGAATTGCTAAGTATAGGGCAGAGATAGCTCTTTTATAGGTCAGGCTGTCTTAGAGCTTTGGGAATAACTGGCTGCACCAGAGCTTTCCAAATGATCTTGTGCAAGTCTCTTGTGAGACAGAGCACCCATCCATGCAGGAGGTACCCTGATGTGTCTCTGCACGAGTCACTGCTTTGGCCTTTCTCTCCCCAGCGTTTAATTCCCTGAGGCTTAAAGGAGACTGGTACTGAGGGGGGAACAAGCTTTTTTTTTTTTTTGCAATTTAGTTACATGTCTGAGGATCCAAACGTTGCCGCCCTTGCATTGTGCATGGTTTGGCCCAAAGAATAATCTAAGGTGAACTCTGGATTGGCATTATGAAGCTCTCTCTTTCTCTCGGCCTGTCCTCACAATGGACTTTGAGTGGGTGAGGCTGAGAATGAAACAGCTTTCTGGCCAAGTCGGGATTTGAACCCGTATCTACTCAGCATAGGTGGGTAGGAGGGCTATTAAAAATGCTTGTTGGCCAGTAGAAAATTGTGGATAGTAAAAATGTCCATTGGCTAGTAGGGAATTATGGATGGACTAGTGACTTTTGTGAACTAATCTGTAAGACTGATAAGACTGGTTGTATCTCTCTCTTTTTTTAAGTACCCATAGGTACACTTTTATTAATTTTTCTTTTATAATCTACAACAAACAAATCTACACACTACAGACACTCTACTACACATAACATATATACCAAGAGTACAGTTACATTGTATGCTTATATCTAATTAATTAATAAAAATGCTCTATCAGACACTTTCCATTCTTCTGTCTTCTGTGTTCTCAAGTCCAATGTGCTATAATTGCCTAATCTTCTATTATATTTACATTATACCAATCATAAAACTTTTCCCATGTTTTTTGAAATGCCCACTCTTTGCTTAGTCTCATTTCTAAAGTCAGTTTATCATTTTCTGCTGTTTCAAAAAGTTTATTCACAAACTCCTGTTTCGGTGGTATCACCACAGTTTTCCAATATTTGGCATATAAGATTCTTGCAGCTGTCGTCATATCAACGGTCAAATACCTATTCTCTTTTTCATAATCATCTGGAAATAGACTGGTTGTATCTCCACGGAGCTCAGAGATGCTTGCAACAGCCCTGCGAAGTAGGCTAGGCTAAGAGAGACTCTTCCAAAGGCCGCTTTCCCCCTCCTTTGTAGCATGGCCTCCCCACATCCTTTGCTCTGGAGAGCCCAGTTGGGATGTCAGCCATAATTCCTTTCTTCTCTTCCCTCTTTTCCTTCCCAGGGATTTGGCTCGGAAGGACCGGAATGGGGCTTCTGACCCCTTCGTCAGAGTTCGCTATAACGGCAAGACCCAGGAGACTTCAGTGAGTCTGGGCCGGGGTGGGGGAGAAGAAGGCGGGGCTAAACAGGAAACTGTGTGTGTCTCGATGAGAAGAAACAACGCGCTCCCCCTACACCCACAGGCTCTGCGTACTTATAGCGTCCTCTTGCCCCACCAAGGGATTTGAAGCTGGTTCCCCTTCTTTCTAGAGATGCAGGGGGCAGAAATGCTAAGTCCTTTTGGGCAGTAATGTGTTGGAAATAGTTAGAAGAAGAGCTGGATTTATACCCCGCCCTTCACTACCCGAAGGAGTCTCAGTGTGGCTTACAATCTCCTTTCCCTTCCCCTCCCTACAACAGACGCCCTGTGAGGCAGGTGGGGCTGAGAGAGCTCTCTTGAGAACTGCCCTTGAGAGGACAGCTCTGAAAGAACTTATGACTGACCCAAGGTCACACCAGCAGCTGCATGTGAAGCTGTGGGGAATCAAAACCGGTCCTGGATTAGAGTCCGTGCTCCTAACCACTGCACCAAGCTGGCTCTCAGAGACTAGTAGTTAACACGGGAAAAGCCCTGCTGGATGAGGCCAATAGAACATCTAGTCCAGCATCCTGTTTTCCTTTGGGAGGTCCTCAAGCAGGAACACAAGAGGCCAAAGCCTCCCCTTCTTTTCCTCTCCCCCAGCAACTTGCATTCACAGGCACACTGCCTCTGAACCTGGAGGTTCTGCTTAGCCGCCCGTCCCGGCTTAACAGCCCTTTGATAGGCCTTCCCCGTGCTCTGATCAATTCCCGTTAAGACAGCCATCTCAGTCAATCACCACTGCAACATTCCCCCCCCCCACTCCAGGTGATCAAAAAGTCCTGCTATCCAAGATGGAATGAGACTTTCGAGTTCGACCTGGACGAGTCGGCCCCAGAGAAGCTGTGCGTCGTAGAGGTGTGGGATTGGGACCTTGTCAGCCGGAATGATTTTCTGGGAAAGGTAAGACAGGGACGGGAAGAAGACAGACACGAGACGTTCATAGAGCGAGGAGGCCAGTTTGGAAGCGGCAGCAGTGAGAGCGGCCATCGCTGCCTGCCCTCCGTCTGGGGCAAGGGGGGAGGATCCACTGCCAAAGGGGGGGGGGCAGCTTATTTATTTGTTTATTTGTTTGTTAAATTTATATCCCGCACCTCCCCGCCAAGGCAGGCTCAGGGCGGCTTACAATATACATATGTAAATATATCTGTTAAAACCAGGGGTCATTTCGTAGAAGTGCAGGAGCTCATTAGCATAACTTATTTGCATACGCCACACCCCTTGACATCACCGGAAGTGTGTCAGAAAACAACACCCACCGCTCAGGCACCACTGGACTGCTTTGGATTGCTAGCTATTGGGGGGGACGGACACGTGCAGATCTGTCCCTGCAGAGGAGGGAGAGCTTGTACCTGAATAAAACTTGGCCTTAAAGGTGGGTTTGGGGGGGGGGGGGGGGGGCTCTGCAGCTTACCTGGCTGCTTCTTGCTCTGACTGAGGGCTGGTGGGAGCAGAGTTAGGGTGGGGCTTGTTGCATGTGCCCGCCCCCTGGGCTCTTTACTGCCAGAGCTCCGCTCCTGTGCGCTCCTGCAGGAAATGACCCCTGGTTAAAACACTGACGTGTAATAAAACACAAATTAATTAAAATCGCAGTATATAAAATTGTACCTATTCAGCCGATGTTAATGGCAGATGGCGTCGATCTCTCGGCATGAAACGGTCGCCCGCCACCCTAGTCCAGGCTCGTGCCAGGCTGTTGATCCTGATGGTGATGTTGGGGCCAGGGCCAGGATATTAAAGGCGACTCCTAATCGAAAGCCTGGCGGAAGAGCTCCATTGTACAGGCCCTGCAGAACTGTAAAAGGTCCCGCAGGGCCCTGATGTCATCCGGGAGCTCATTCCACCAGTAAGGGGCCGCCACAGAAAAGGCCCTGGCCCTTGTCGCAGCTAGCCTGGCTTCTTTAGGGCCCGGGAGGGCCAGACGATTTTGGGAAATCTGCATATTTTTCAGTAAAAACGTGTGTGTGATATTTGTTTGTGTCTTGTGGCTTTCAAACATCGGCCGCTTATTCTGTGTGGCTCTTACATTAAGCAAGCTTGGCCACACCTGAGCTAGATGGACCAAGGGCCTGACTTGGGCAGAAGGCGGCTTCAAGCGTTCAGTCATCCTTCCGCTCTGGAAACAGCCCCTTCTTTCTCACAGGTGGTGTTCAATGTCGAAGGGCTCCTGACTGTTCAGCAAGAGGAAGGCTGGTTTCTGCTCCGACCAGACAAATCCAAGCCACCGCAGGATGAGTGAGTTCCTGTCTTTCCCGGGGGGCTCACCTGTCAGGGGAGTGGAGTCCACTGGGTTTATAGCAGCAGGATGAGCTCCAGAGGCACGTCCGTGTATGAAGTGTGCAACGTGCTGTCAAGTCACAGCCAACTTGTGACGACCCTGTAAGGCTTTCAGGGCAAGAGACAAACGGAGCCGGTTGGCCCCGGGGCTTCCTTGGCCGTCTCCCATCCATATACTAAAAAAGGGCCACCCTGCTTAGCTTCTGAAATCTAATGAGCTCAGGCCAGCCTGAGCCTTCTAGGTTAAGGCAAAGACAGCTTCCCTCACCGGGAATTGAACCGGGGCCATGGCAGTGAGCTAGGGTTGCCAAATTATTTTTCGCCGGGAGTGGGGGGCTCCCAGCCGGCGTCCTCCTCGTGTGCGCGCGCGCCGCATGTGCATCATCCGGAAGTGACGTCACACGCTGGGGGCGGGGCCACGCCATTTGAGGGGAAAACAAAGAGTTTTCCCCTCAAATGGCGTGGCCCCACCCCCAGCGTGTGACGTCACTTCCGGATGATGCACACGCAGGGGTGGGGTTTCCCCCGGGCCTTGATTCCGCGGGAACTGGAATCGGGGCTCGAAAGCGGGGGGGAATTCCGCCCCCCGGGGGCATTTGGCAGCCCTACAGTGAGCTTACTGAGTCCTAACCACTAGGCCAGTGGTGGCGAACCTATGGCACAGGTGCCAGAGGTGGCACTCAGAGCCCTCTCTGTGGGCACGCGTGCCATCGCCCCAGCCAGGCCCAGACCATCATTAAAGTGTCGAATTCTCTGCCAAATAATTTTAAGTAAATGAAAGCATTTGGGATTGCGTTCCTTACTTTGTTTGGATCATCTTAAGTTAATGTATGAGTTGTTTTTTCTAAAGTAAAACCTCAGTATTCAGGTTAAATTGCCGTGTTTGCACTTTGCGATAGATAAGTGGGTTTTGGGTCGCAGTTTTGGCACTCGGTCTCTAAAAGGTTTGCTATCACTGCACTAGGCCGTCGGGGAAGATAAAATGATGTCAAGTTGCAGCTGAGTGATGGTGATCCCGTAGGAAAAACAACTCACACATTAACTTAAGATGATCCAAACAAAGTAAGGAACGCAATCCCAAATGCTTTCATTTACTTAAAATTATTTGGCAGAGAATTCGACACTTTAATGATGGTCTGGGCCTGGCTGGGGCGATGGCATACGTGCCCACAGAGAGGGCTCTGAGTGCCACCTCTGGCACGCGTGCCATAGGTTCGCCACCACTGCCGTAGGGTTTTCCAGGCAAGGCACAGACAGAGGTGGTTTGCCATTGCCTGCCTCTGTGTCGTGACCCTGGTATTCCTTGGTGGACTCCCATCCAAGTACTAACCAGGACGGACCCTGCTTAGTTTCTGAGAGCCGACGAGATGGGGCTAGCCTGGGCCATCCAGGTCAGGGCTTAGAGATGCTCAGCCTGGACTTAAAAATGACCCCACGGAAGCCACCTCCCCTTTGGGCCGACACACATTTCACAAAGGTCCTAGATGGTTATTGCAGGAGAATGGGTTGCAGGAACACAAGAGCGGGGTGGCGATTGATGTCCCCAAGGCTCTTCTGACCTGCCCGGTGGAGAATAACTTGTCAACGGGGCATCCCTTCTTCCTTCCATTTTCAGAGGCAACCTGGGAGCTTTGCACCTCCAAGTGCGGCTTCGGGATGAGATGGTGCTGCCCTCCAGCCACTACCGGCCTCTCGTGCAGCTTCTGTGTCGAGAGGTTAAGGCAGCAGCACAGGTAAGATTGGACCGGCCTCTTTTCTGTGCACGGCCCCCCCCCCCCCCCCCCCCCCCCCGTGTCTCCTTCTTTCCTTCCCAGACCACTTTGGAGTTGTTCCTTTTTTTTTTTTGCTGTCAAGTCACAGATGCCTGATGGTGACCCCGTAGGGATTTCAAGGCAAGAGACGTTCAGAGGTGGTTCGCCATGGCCTGCCTACACATCACAACCCTGGACGTCTCCCGTCCAAGTACTAACCAGGACCAACCCTGCTTAGCTTCTGAACTCTGATGAGATCGGGCTAGCCGGGGCCATCCAGGACAGGCTGGAGTTGTTACCACTCAGTGTTAGAAGGCCGAACACTCCATGTTGGGATCTGCAAACAAAAAGCAGTCACGGAGGGTTCCAGTATGGATCAGGACCAGGGCTATTTTTGGGCAGGAACGCACAGGAACGGAGTTCCGGCTGGCTCCTGAGTTGGCCACACCCAGCAGGAACTCATTAGCATAATAGGCCACACCCAACAGCATAAACTCATTGGAATTGGCTACATTAGGGGTGTGTGGCCTAACATGCAAAGGAGTTCCTGCTAGAAAAAAAGCTCTGGGTTTTGACAACAAGGTAAACAGAATAAGAAGCAAACGTTTGGTGTGGCTGGATGACCACACTTCTGGTAACTTGGGGGTGCGGCCTAATATGCTAATGTGCTATGCTGTCAAGGGTGTGGCCTAATATGCTAATAGGTGTCTGCTGTTGGGTGTGGCCTATTATGCTGATGAGTTCCTGCTGGGCTTTTTCTACAAAAAGAGCCCTGATTCAGGACCAATGCTCCCTCTAAGCTGTGGAGTCCTGTGAGCAAAAATTCTACTTTGTGAGCTTACTGGCATTAAAGCTGTGAGCGAACGATTTGGCTCCTGCATCAATGAGTCTGCTCTGGAGCCCTCCTGCCTGAACTGAGGCAAAAATGTGTGAGCTGGAGGCTAAAAAACTGTGAGCTGGCTCACGCTAACTCAGCTTAGAGGGAACACTGATTCAGGACCATTGTTCTGCAGAAAGGAAGTATTAATGCCCGGATCCATTGTGACTTCCACAGCAACTGTGTTTTGCTGCTCAGTTACACATCTGGGGATCCTCCTGTATCACTGGGCCGTTAATACTGTCATATCTTTGACCCTCTTAAATTATTCACTCTCTTGTCTGCTGACATTTTCTTCTTGGCTAAATTGAGGTTCTTTCTTTTGTTTCTGAAGTGCATCTGTGGTTTAATCATAGATTTATGGGCCAATGCTACAATGTGTTATCACTTCTCAGTCACTTGGAAATAGAGGTCATGGTATTTGAGAGGCCAGTCTCCTCACCCATTTTGCCTGTCATTTTCCCCGATTGCAGTGGTGGGCAGAGGTGAGGGGTGGGAAGTTTCTGCCAAAGGGAACTCTTTCCCCACACACAAAATCATGTTTTCATGTAACTTTCTCCTACTGAGTTATTTATGAATGTTTATGATCTTTGCAGAAATGGATTTCTCGACTTTCTTTGTCCCCCTCACAGGACGGGAAAGCACATTTAATAACCCTCATCGACGAAACCACCACTGCCGAGTGCAGACAGGAAGTTGCCATCAACCTTGTCAAGCTCTTCCTAGGTCAAGGGTTAGCCAAAGAGTTACTGGATCTTCTCATCAAGCTAGAGTTGGACAAAACTGGTACAATTTGGGAGGGTGATGTCTGCATGGTTTGAGCCGTCCCTTTGTGTTACTAGAGTATTAAGGGGGTGTCATGACCGGGGGGAGGGAGGATTCCCCAGAGCCCAAATAAAGTGACTAAGGTGGGTGTTGTCATTGCTTGTTCACCAAATTTTCACATCAGGTATTTGGATGTGGTTTTGAGCTGCACTTTTTCCTCCCAGTTGGGAAAATGTGGAGTGAATGCTAGATGCAGAATTGCCCTCTGTGACCACAGCCAAAGGCAACTTTATTTTAAAGCATCCGTATTGTAATGAACTAAAGGGATTGGTTGACTTCGGCTGTGCTGCTGTGATGTCAGAGAGGCAGGGCAGGCAGAACAGCCATTAGTTGGTTGAGCTGCTTCTACCCTAGAGAAGAGCAGAATAGCTTAAGAAAGAACATAAGAACATAAGAGACGCCAATGTTGGATCAGGCCAAAGGCCCATCCAGTCCAACACTCTGTGTCACACAGTGGCCAGAAATACCAGGTGCCCTCAGGAGGTCCAGCAGTGGGGCCAGGACATTAGAAGCCCTCCCACTGTTGACCCCCCCCCAAGCACCAAGCAGACAGAGCATCACTTGCCCCAGAGCCCCTATCTATACCTTGTGGCTAATATCCACTGATGGACCTCTGCTCCATATGCTTATCTATTTCCCTTTTGAAGCCGTCCATGCTTGTAGCCGCCACCACTTCCTGTGGCAGTGAATTCCATGTGTTAATCCCTCTTTGGGTGAAGAAGTACTTCCTTTTATCCATTCTAACCCCACCGCTCTGCAGTTTCATGGAGTGCCCACGAGTTCTTGTATTGTGAGAAAGGGAGAAAAGTACCTCTTTCTCTACCTGCTCTTTCCCATGCATAATCTTATAAACCGCGATCATGTCACCCCTCAGTCGTCTTTTCTCCAAGCTAAAGAGCCCTAAGCGCTTTAACCTTTCCTCATAGGGAAAGTATTCCAACCCTTTGCAGCAGGGGGGTCCTAACAAAGGAAGCAATTCTAGGTGAAGGAGACCGAGAGAAGAGGGTGATCCACAGGAGTGACACAGCTGACAACATTCTCTGTTGACAAGGCATTGTCTGTATATTTTCTAGCCTTGGCCCTGTGAGTTCTCAGATTTGGGGGGGAGGGGGTCTTTGGGGAAACTTTTAGAACGTTTTGCTAGTGTCCGTCAGTGTTCCCTCTGAGATGAGTCAGTGTGAGCTAGCTCACAGTTTTTTAGCCTCCGGTTCACACATTTTTGTCTTAGCTCAGGAAAGATGGCTCCAGAGCAGGACTAATTCATGCAGTAGTCAAATCGCTCGCTCACAGCTTTAATGCCAGTAGCTCACAAAGTAGATTTTTTTGCTCAGAAGACTCCACAGCTTAGAAGGAGCATTGGTGTCCATTGCTAATGGTGCCGGTCGTCATGCTCTCTTTCTTTCCCTTTCCACGCTCTCTCAAAGTTTAATCTCTGACTGGGCAGGGGGATGCAGGGTCTCTCAAGTGGGCACGGGCACAAATGTGACGGTGCCATTGAGATGACCATCTGCCATTTCACATGCTTGTGAAGCGTGTTTCGAGCTGTTAATAATGGCTTGTAGGACATCTCTCTCCCATCTCCCATCTTTTTAAAGAGTAAAGAACAACACACTTTTTGCACTTTTGTAGCAGGGAGGCTAAGTTCCAAAGTAGCTGCTTCTGCACATATAGGATAATGTGCTCTTAGTGCACTATAGCCAGAGGTCATTTCGGGGGAGATCGCGGGGGATCGCAGTTCCCCCGGGTGAGGTACGGGGGGCGGGGCACATGACGAAGCCCCGCCCCCTGCTTCCGGCCACCCCGCTTCCGGCCCTCATTCAGCCAGGAGGAGGCAGGAGAAGAGGGAGGGTAAGTTGCTTCCTCCCTGCCTCTCCCCACCCCTGCCTGCCTGGGGCCAGGGAGGGCCTTCACGGGGCTTCCTTGCACTCCCACTGGCCTTGCAGGTCCACCGCCAGGCCCCTCATGGGGCTCAGCAGTGGAGATGCAAGGGCGGCGGCCGGGACCGTTGGGGGCTGGGTGTGTGGCCTTATGACACACTTCCGGTGATGTCAGGGGATGTGGCTTTATGACACACTTCCGGTAATGTCAGGGGGTGTGGCATGTGCTAATGAGTTATGCTAATTAGTTCCCCTAGCTCTTTTTCTACGAAACGACCCCTGGCTTTAGCAGTCGTTTGCAACTGGACTTTACTGTTTGATCCTTTTAGCCAGAGATGGCAGGGATTGAATTTGGGACCTTCTGTATGCAAAGCAGAGGCTCTACCACTGAGCCAGGCCCCTTGCCTAGTGCTTTTATTGCCTTTGGAGCACGGTCTGAAGGTGACTGATGCAGCCATGCAGCTGTGGCTAAGCCAGTCTGACCCTACTGGTACTTTGAGGGGAAGTGGGAATTTTATCTGAACCCATCTGAGGTCCACAAAGGAAATGTGATAATTAAAATGAAAAATGAGCAATAAGATCTGGGCCTGTATTGCCTTTCTTTCTTCAGAATGTCAGCTGCATAGCTATGGATGGTGCAATCAGGAGTTTTCTGTGTTTCAGATGAGCCAAACACGCTCTTTCGGAGCAACTCTCTGGCCTCCAAGTCAATGGAATCCTTCCTGAAGGTACTTGCTGGGATTGGCAGTCTGCTGCAGTGAATGTCACCTGTATTAAAGCCGTTCTCTGATCCTGCCACCCACTGTCTCACCCCACCCGCCCGTCTCTCCGTCTGCTGTCCCTGTAGGTGGCAGGGATGCAGTACCTCCACAGGGTCCTGGGTCCAACCGTCAACCGTGTGTTTGAAGAGAAGAGATGCATTGAGCTGGATCCCAGCAAAGTGGAGAGCAAGGATGTTGGGTAAGAGGACCCAACAGAGAACCCAGCAGAGTCAGGTCTACTTAGCCCTGCCTCCTGTTTCCTACAGTGGCCACCAGATACCTCTGGGAACCCACAGAGTCTGAAAGCCACAGTGAATGTTGTTTGGAGGTACACTCAGGCCCGTAGCGACAGTGGGGCATCTTGGGGCTAGGCCCCCTGACTTACTGCCAAGACCCCACAACTTCCCATCCAGCCCAGGGCCCCCGAGCAGTGGCGGGTGCAAGGAAGGAGCTGGCTATTCCTTTAATTCAATTAGCCAGTGCCCCCTAAGAAATTTAAATGCCCCCCAACTTTAAAAAAAAGCCTGGCTATGGGCCTGGGTACACTGCCTCTGAACCTGGAGGTTCTATTTATTTATTTAGATACTTATACCCTGCTTTCTCTCCCCAGTGGGGAGCCAGAGCAGATCACGATATCCATTCTCTCCTCTTCCAACAGACAATCCTGTGAAGTAGGTTAGGCTGAAGGTGACTGGTCCAAGACCACCCAGCTGCAACGGCAGGATGTGGATTTGAACCTGGGTGTCTCAGATCCTAGTCTGCCAGTCTAACCCCTATGCCATGCTGGCTTTCTTAACAGCTAACAGCTCTTTAAATAGGCCTATCCTCCCATTAATTTTTCTAATCTTCTTTTGGAGCGATCTAAGCCGACAGCCATCATGAATTGTGAAGGGTGATGCGAAGGACTTTCTTTTGGTCCTTCCTGAAACTACTGCCCATCAGGTTGTTTGTGTTCCTGCTGCCCCAGGTTCTGGAGAGGAAGGAAAACGTTTCTCCACAATCTGTGCATAATAAGAAAGTGGATGTCATTTGTTCCTACATGGAACACATGAACCGAGCATGAATCGGGGAATGGGTGAGTTGGGGGCACCCATATTGCCAGGGAATCCTGCAGGAATAGGGGGAGAAGTCGAGGTCTTGACAGGTGAGTCTTGCCGTCTATCTGCCTGGTCAGGTGCTCCAGCCTTCACTGGACCCAGAGCGAAAGTGACGTGATCCAGCAGAGTGTCCACCTCCTTCAGTCCTACCTGACTGACCTCCTCGCTGCCATCGCCAAGTCCGTCGGGCTGTGTCCCGTGGTCATCCGTGCCACCTTCCGGCAGCTTTTCAAGCGGGTTGGGGAACATTTCCCTGAAGAGAAAGACCAGGTGAGTGCAGGGGGAACCCAAACCCCACCCTTGTCCCATCCATAATGGAGCCTGAAGCGTCTGAACAGGTGGAACTTCTGGGAGAGGGCAAGGAATGACGGGGGCGTGCCCAAATGATTTGTGGCACACTTGGGCTTGGGGGCAGGGATTTGAAGCGAGGTCTTGGGTCACCAGGTGTGGGAAAGCAGCATGATATAGGTGGATCTCATCAGTTCTCGGAAGCTAAGCAGGGTTGGAATTTGGATGGGAGACCACCAAAGAAGACTCTGCGGAAAGAAGTCAAGGGCCAGCCACCTCTGCTTCTCCCTTGCCTTGAGAATCCCTTGCTGGGGTTGCTGTAAGTCAGAGGTTCCCAAAATTATTTGGCCTACAGCCCCCTTTTCAGGAAAAAAAAAATTACTCAGCGCCCCCCTGGAAATCTACCTTCAAGAAGTGGACAAAAAGATGCAGTGACAAATTTGCACATAGTAAAGAAAGATGTTGTTGTAAATAAGACACTTTGAAGCTCAAAATCATAAAAGTTTTAAAATAAAATCAACCATAGTAACATTTGCATACACACAGAAAATTAAGACACGCAGAAAATCCCCCCCCCCCCCAATCCCAGGGAAGACCGGGAGAAGGCAGGAAAAGGCTGCTTTAGATAGGTTCTGGACTCTTCTTTCTTTATGCTTCCACTGCCCCCTTATTTTTATTCAACGCCCCCCCCAATTGCACCCAAGGCTCCTACCGCCCACCTGGATCGTTCCAGTGCCCCCCAGGGGGCGGTATTGCCCACTTTGGGAACCAGTGCTGTAAGTCAGTTGCGACTCGACAGCACATCTGTGTGTAGGTGTGGCATCAGGCAGGTGTACTGGGAGGCTGTTCCAGGCAATCAAGGGCAGAAAAAGGTAGAGTCCTTTGCAGGGACAGTTTTGGGCAGCTGGTGGTGGTGGGAGCCAGAGAAGCAACCGTTACAAACAAGGAAATGTTGGAATACAAAAGCAGAGGAATGCAGAGTTCAGGCCATGGAGGTCTCTGAAAATAAGGAGGATGAGTTCTTGTGGAGCCCATGAGTGAGCAGGAATCCAGCGCAAGGAATGATGTCAGCACGATTATCTCAAGGTCAAACCGCATCACCACCGTTTGGCCAGCAGCACTGGTGGCTCCCAAGTACAGTTGAATACCAGACCAGCAGTGCCCTTGTAATGATTCCTTGTTTTATATGTGTGTGTGTCTCTTTAAAAGTTTGGTTGCATGGCTGCGTGATGGACTAGAGTGCTTGAAGAGACAAGTGTGGTGTGATTGGTGAGTGACAGAGAGGGGGAGGGGTTTTAGAAAGTGTTTCTGAGTGGATGAATGGGTATGTCCTTCAGGAGTGACAGAGGTTTGACAGTTGATAAAGACTGTTGTTAAGGGAGTTGGTTCTGAGGTCTGAGGAAGGGAGACAGTCTTGTGTGTGATACAAGAGTTAAGTTCTGTGTATGAAGAAAAGTTGAATGTATAAGAAAACAAAAGTTAAATGAAAGTCTGAGTGACAGACTGGAGTGAAATAGGAAACGTATATGACCCTGAGTAATGAGTTACAAAGTTACTTGAAAAATCCCTGTCAGAAAGGGAGCAGATCTTGTGTGAGACACAACAAAATTGTTAAAATTATTCATATTACTGGTTACATTGTTCTACACTTTAATCTATGAACTGTTTCAATAAATCTTCTTTTATTTAAGTCTGCCAGCTCTGAAAGAAATAATTTCTCATGAAACACATAGACCCTCATGAGACTTAAAACCTCGACCTACCTACCCAGTGATAGAAATATTATAGTATAAAGGTTTGGAAAGCCTTAAATTTCCTGGTGGCAGCCGGATATACACAGTAAAACAAAACATAAAGAACACTTTAAAAGGGAAACCAGACCTCCCCAGATAAGGGGACGCCACAGCCCTCTTTTGGGACGTTGCCATAGCAGCGCAGGGTAAACTCCTTAGGTCTGGCTCAAGACCCTGGTCCTCTCCCTGGAGGGCCTGCCGGACAAGCAGAATCAGAATTGTGATCACAAACGGGTGACTCTTTCCATTGCTTTTGATGTGAGCTCCGCTCTGCTCCTTCTCCGCTTACAGAACATAAAGTTCATTGCCATCACCAGCTTCCTCTGCCTGCGCTTCTTCTCTCCAGCCATTATGTCCCCCAAACTGTTTCACCTGCAAGAGAAACACGCTGACGCCCGCACCAGCCGAGCCCTGCTGCTCCTAGCCAAGGTAAGGCCACCATTTCTCTCTGCTTCCTAGATAGGAGAGAGTCCTAAAGGTTAACAGATTTGATGCCACTAGGTCTAGCTAGAGACAATTGGAGGGTCCAGTCTCCCTGCCCTCTCTTCAAGCAGGGAACAGAGATTTGGAGGGGTTAAATACTAGAGAGACTTCGGGAAGGAACTCCTGAAGATCTCCAGGAAAAGCTTCGTTGACCCGGCTTGACCTGGTCAGTGGGTGGGGAATAGAGAGGCGATAAAACTCAGGGGAGCAAGGAGGAAGCACTCTTTTGTGCTGAGTCCATCACAGCAGACAGAACTCTTAACTGAGGTCTGGAGGAGGCAGCCATTAACCATGTGCTGGCCTGGAGAGCGGGAGGAAGCTTCAAGGCAATGGCGCTCTGTAGAGATCTGTAACTTCCTAAGCTGAAGGAGCCTGTCCTATACTTTAACATCTGGTAGGGCATGTATAGAGAGAAGGACAGAGGAATTGTGTCTTACCCATTTCTTTTGAATCTCTTGCTCAATCTGGTGCTTTGCTAAAAGTATGCTTGTGAACATTTTATTTTCAATAAATACTTTATGACTTGGGATGCTGATAGTGGTTCACCATCCCACATAGACCTCCACCATCTCAGAGACACTATTTTAAAAGGCTTACCAGGGGGAAGGCAGGCAGTGGGCAAATGGCTCTTCCTCCAGGGGCACACAAGGCAGCAAGCTGTTCCCATGGTGACCCGGTGCTAGGCAGCAGGAGACACAGAGGCAAGGCCTCAGAACTTGAAAGGGAAGCTGGGGGTCCTGACCCTTCCACTGGGCAGTTCCTGCAAAGATCAGGTGGTGGGGGCAGGTTACCAGAGAGAGAGAAAAGCCTCTCCAGGTCTTAGGAAAACCTTGGAGGGCAGGGTGGAACAGGGCCTGCAGGCCAGAGCAGGCCCATTCCACCACAGTCGCTGCTACCTCCTCTCTTCCAGTTTTCTGTGTGATATTAGAACAGGGGTGACCAAACTGTGGCTCGGGAGCCGCATGCGGCTCTTTCACACCTATTGTGCGGCTCCCGGCAGGGCGGCTGGGGAATCTAAAGGTCATTAGCAAACAGATATAATTGGACAAATCAATACCATTATCAATATCTGCTTTTACCACTTCTGTTATTCTTTTTGGCAGTCTCGTTTAATATTAATGCAAAGCAAATTTGCATATTTACCAGTAAAAACGTGTGATATTTGTTCATGTCTTGTGGCTCTCAAATATCTGACGTTTATTCTATGTGGCTCTTACTTCAAGCAAGCTTGGCCACCCCTGTATTAGAATCTGCTCCTCCTCCTTCCTAACCTGGGAGAGGAAAAGAGGACTGCTTTTTCGTATCCTGCTTTGCTTTGGAGAAGGCAGAAATGTCAGCTGCAGGGTTCAGCTACGAGAGATGGAAGAGCTGGGATCAGACAGAGTTCAAGGAGGATCAGCCCCAAGGGTTAAATAAAGCCTCCATGTTCAGAGGCAGTCTCTCTCTGAATATCAGTTGCTGACGAACCAGCGAGGGATGTTGCCTTCATGCCTTGCTTGTGCTCTTGAACACACGTGAAGTTGCCTGACACTGAATCAGACCCTTGGTCCATCAGTATTGCCTACTCAGACTGGCAGTGGCTCTCCAGGGTCTTAGGTCGAGGTCTTTCACGTCACCTACCGCCTGGTCCTTTCAACTGGAGATGCCGGCGGTTGAACCTGGGACCTTCCGCATGTCAAGCAGATGCTCTACCACTGAGCCACAGCCCCTCCCCGATGGTACCTGCACGGCCATTGTTGGAAACAGTACGCTGGACTAGAAGAACCCTTGGACTGGTCCTTCAGGGCTGCTTTCATTAGCCATGACTGTGAGAAGAGGAACCTCCGTGTACAGTATTGTCAGACCCCACAGCAGGCAATGAAGTACACACTTGCAGGAAGGTTTTACTTTATTGAAGCCATGAAGCACTTAGAACAGATTCTCTGTTCAGAATAACGAGTTGAGCGTTTGACAGATAGGTTAAAGCAAGTTCATAATTACACTAGCCAATAGGTATGGTTCCCGCTCCCGCCTAGAAGGCGCCCAGTGCGCCCAAACCCTGAGAAGCAACGGTTCCATACAGTTAAACAATAAGACTATTCCCACACTACATATTCATTACCGACTAAGCAAAAGCCTCTTGCTGCACACCATCTGTGGCCTTGGGTTGATAACGCGCCATCAAAGCAAAGCTAGCGTACATGGAAAGGAATGCAGTGGAGGAGATGAGCGCATGGGGTTGAGGGTGGACATGCGCACCAGAGTATACTACCGTTACCATGGCAGTAGAGGTTGTTGACAAGCGAGGGGGGGGGAAGGGATGCAGACATGCCCAATACATACATTAAAGACACATTGGCAGCTTGCTGACAAGTATTCCTCTTAAAAACCCGGTGCTGAGTGCAAGAGACAGTGGAGTGCCTGATTTCTTTAGGCCCTTCTTCTGGGCTTCTCAGAGGTCTGGCCAGCTGCTGTCGGGAAGGGGGGGGGTGCTGGATTCGATGGAGCCCTGGGTGGTTCAGCAAAGCTCACCTGGTGCTCTTCCGTTCTTGTGACCCTCGCTCCCATCTTTCAAGGGCAGACAGGAGAAGGGGGGGGTCCCAGCTGTGGCTCCACGGAAGAGCTTGGGCCACTTAATAAGTGGCAGCGTGGCCCACCGTGACCCATTTTCCCACCCCACCCATCTTGTTCATGGGCAGACGGTCCAGAATGTGGGGAATATGGATCCGGTCATCAGTTGTGCCAAGGAAGGCTGGATGTCCCCTCTGCAGCCCACCATCCAGCAGGGCGTCGCCCAGATGAAGCAGTTCATCCTCCAGCTGATAGACATTGAGGAGAAAGAAGGTGCGTGGGCCGAGGGGGGGGGCATTCCGGTTGCTGCTTGGAAACCAGCGTGGTGGTCGCGGTTAGAGTGTCGGACTAGGATCTGGGAGACCCAGGCTCGAATCCCCCCTCGTGCCTTGGAAGCTTGCTGGGAGACCTTGGGGCAGTCACGCCCACTCAGCCTAACCGACCTGAAGTGGTTGCTGTGAGGGTAAATGGACGAGAGGAGGACGATGCAAGGCGTTTTGCGTCCCCGTAAGGGAGGACAAGGAGCTGCGGTGGCTCAAGTGGTTAAGACGCTGACCTGCAGGCTGTGGAAGGTAGGTGGTTCAGCAGTTCGAGACCCGAGTGTGCCGCATGACGGAGTGAGCTCCCGTCTCTAGTTCCAGCTCCTGCCAACCTCGCTTTGGCAAGAAATTGCAAGTAGATAAATAGGTACCACTTCAGTGGGAAGGTAACAGCGTTCTGTGCACCTTGGTGTTTAGTCATGCCGGCCACATGACCACAGAAACGTCTTCGGACAGCGCTGGCTCTTCGGCTTTGAAACGGAGATGAGCACCGCACCCCTAGAGTCGAATTCGACTGGCTTTCGAGAAAGGGAACCTTTACCTTTAAGGGAGGACAGGGAGATGTAAATGAAGTAAATCAGAGCCCGTGTGGAGCAGAGGCAGGGGGCTCCAGCATGGTGCCCGTTGAGTGCCAGAGCATTTGCTGAGACCTCTCGCGGTGCTCGCCAAATGGGTTTTTAGAAAGTGGGTGGGGCCAGATGGGGCTTTTACCCAGCTGGGCTTCTGATTGGCCACTGGAGAGGTGATTGGCTGGGCAGATTTCTAACAGATGGCTTGGGCGGCCGCTGCCACCACAGCAGAAGGATCTGCGCTGCATGACTGAAGGTCGGCTGCGGCAGCCAATCTGTGGACGGCTCCGCCTCCTGCAGGAGACATTTTGCGGCTGCGCGCTGTGTCAGAACCCCAGAGGTGCCCGCAGCCTCAGAAAGGGTTGGGGGGGGGAGTCCCCACTGGGCCAGCGGGGAACCAGGTGCAAATCCCCACTCAGCCACGAAGCAATTTTGGGCCAGTTGCCACCTCTCATTTTAACTGACGGCTCACAATTGTTGTGAGGATAGAAATGGGCGGGGGGGGGGACCCTGAGTCCCTTAGAGAAAAGGTGAGATGTCAAATGTGCTACGGCTCACGTTTCTAGTCAGCTGAAAGGCGGTCAGTGGATTGGCTGGCTGAGAATGGGAGGAGCCAACCCTGAACCTCTATTCTTCCTCCCAGCTGCCCTTCCCTCTCCCACCCCCAGCGTGGCCGGTAGGGGCAGCAGAGAGAGGAGGCCATCACCATTTGCAGGGGGATCCGTTCCCAGGATCACCACAAAATGGCGAACACTGGCAGGCAGGGGTTGGGAAGGCCAAACCGCTAGATTCCCACCAAATTTAACCCGGTGACGATTACAATTATGGTGTGATGGCATGGCAGAGAAACCCGTTTGGAGGCTGCATCACATGACCGGGCAGCGAGCTACGAATAAGTGAAACTGCGAGTCACAAATCGGCGAATGGCGAGGGTTGGCTGTCCTTAGCGTCGCCAACTCTGGGTTGGGGAATTCCTGGAGATTGGGGGGGTGGAGTTTGGAGAGGGGAGGGAGGTCGGGGAGGGATGGGATGAAATGCCGTCCACCCTCCAAAGCAGCCATTTTCTCCAGGGGAACTGATCTCTGTTGTGTGGTAATTCTGGGGAATATCCACCCCACACACACTGGCAGGCTGGCAACCCTAGCTTTTTTTTCAACGCAGAGCGGAAGTTTGCGCACATTTCCATTTTCCACCCCGCCCAGATTCCAAGCTACTAACTGGGAATGTTCCTTGCAGAACTGGACTTGCAGAGGGCCCTGACCTTGCCGAGCCCGGTGGTGAAAGAGGGGCCTCTGTTCATCCACAAGGCCAAAAGCAAAGGCCCTCTCCTCTCCTCGTCCTTCAAGAAGCTCTACTTTGCCCTCACGGGGGAGGCCCTCACCTACGCCAAGACACCCAGCTCCAAGGTAAGGAGTTTGCTGGGACGGCAAGAGGAACTAGAAACTTGCCAGGCTACCTGTGGCAGGGCAGAGCAGCCACGGCCCTTTCTCCAGTGTCCACAGTCCCAGATACTTTCCCCTGCAGACAAGGAACAAAACAGCCCCCATTACTGCTTGTGAAACCCAGACAGAGGTGCAGTGTAGGAGTGGGTGGGAGTCTGGGTTTTGAATATGTGCTTTTGTTCTTGGGGTTCCTTTCCAGAAAAGCTCCTTCATTACTCTGGCCAACATCCGGGTGGCCGAGAAGGTGGAAGAGAAGAGCTTCGGAAGCTCCCACGTCATGCAGATTGTCTACAGCGACGAGGCTGGGCAGGCGGAGACCGTTTACCTGCAGTGCAAGGTTCTGGCAGGCAGAGAGGGAAGGCGGTCCCAGCTTGGGTGGGGAGGGGAAAGCTGGAGCGGCCACGGTGGTGGCGGCGGCGGTGGGCCACGTGCCATGTTAGGGGGTCCGACAGGCCTCCATCCCAAACTGTGCAAGAAATCTTGTTCATGAGAGCCTGGGCCAGGTGGCTCTGTTTTATTTATCTGTCTTCCAAATCTTGGCAGGACTAGATAGATTTACAGCTTCAAGAGGGAATTAGATAAGCATCTGGAGCAGAAGTCCATCAGTGGCTATTAGCCACAAGGTATAGATAGGAACTCTCAGGCTGGGGCAAGGGATGCTCTGCATTCTTGGTGCCTGGGGGGGGGGGGCAACAGTGGGAGGGCTTCTAGTGTCCTGGCCCCACTGGTGGACCTCCTGATGGCACCTGGTGTTTTTGGCCACTGTGTGATAGAGTGTTGGACTAGATGGGCCACTGGCCTGATCCAACACTGGCTTCTCTTATGTTCTTATAGACAGAATCAGGCTCCACTTCCTCGGACGGGGAGAGGAGTGTGCCTGCTTGCAGAGAAGCCCACTGAAGGGCATTCTGAACGTGGGCCTCCGAAACCCGCATCCAGTCTTCTGTCTTAACCACAATTAAATGTTATGTCTGAATACCTAAACCAGGGGTCCCCCACATGGTGCCACCCAACACCTTCCCTGGGGCCCACCAGGTGTTTTTAGAGAGTGGGTGGGGCCAGGTGAGGCTTTTGCCCAGCAAGGTTTCTGATTGGCTATTGGAGATTTCATTGGCTGTGCAGATTTTTAAAAACGTTGCTTTGGCAACAGCTGCCACCGTAGTGCAAGGATCTTCACGGTGTGACTGAACTTAAGCTGTGGCAATCGTTTTGTGGCTGGCTCCGCCTCCTGTGGCATCTGTTTTGTGGCCGCCATTTTGTGGTTGCACCCACCACGCTGTTTCAGAATTCCAGGGTTGCCCACAGGCTCAAAATATGGGGGGGCCCCTGACCTAAACTTTGTTTAGGAATGGCACGCAGACCATGGTTTGTGCTAACCATGGTTAAATGTCAATGGCTGCACCGAGTCTCTCCTTGTGGTTTCTAGGAGGCAGAAATTAGCTTGCCAAGCTAAACCATGGTTCCCCTCTGTGTCTGGGATCTTAACCTGGGCTGAGTCAATCAGATGATGAAACCGTCTTTAATATGGCGGAGCTATCCCCGCAGATACAATGTGCTTTGTCCGTGTCATGCTCGCTAGTGCTTCATTGGGCACCAACCCTCCTGCATTGGTTTCCAGTGCGTCAATGAGCTCAACCAGTGGCTGTCGGCCTTGAGGAAGGTCTGCGTGAACAACACGGGGGTGCTGTGCGCCTACCATCCGGGCATCTTTCGGGGAGAGAAGTGGAGTTGCTGCCACCAAAAGGACAAAACAGGTAGTGCATTCTATGCCGCTGTATTACTCTCATGAGCTGAGAGCCAATGTGGTGTCGTAATTAGAGTGCTGGGACTAGTATCGGGGAGACCCAGGTTCAAATCCCCACTCTGCCACGGAAACTTGCTGGGTGACCTGGGGCCAGTCATACTGTCTCAGCCTAACCTACCTCGCAGGGTTGTTGTGGGGATAACACGGAGGAGAGGAGAACAAAGTAAACCACTTTTGAGTCCCCATTCAGGAGCAAGGTGGGGTATAAATGAATTAAATAAATAAATAAGGTAGCTGTCGTCAATCTGTTCAGCTGTGGGAATGACCTCTAACTGCAACCCATAGTGTGGGGCCCCTAATTTCTTACTCCCCTGTACATGTCTGTCTTTTTTCTGGCCGAGTTCAGAGATCACAGGAGCCTGGTCTAAATAAACTAATTATGGTGAATGTGATTGTCCCCAATGTTCCGCTCTATTCTGCTATGGTCAGGCCTCACCTGGAGTACTGTGTCCAGTTTTGAACACCACATTTTAGGAAGGATGTTGACAAGCTCGAGCGTGTCCAAAAGAAGGCAACCAGGATGGTGAGAGGGCTGGAATCCAAGTCTTATGAGGAAAGGCTGAAAGAGTTGGGTATGTTTAGCCTGGGAAAGAGAAGGCTTAGAGGGGACATGATGGCTGTCTTCAAGTATTCGAAGGGCTGTCATGTAGAAGATGGAGTGGATCTATTCTCTCTTGCTCCGGATTGCAAGACCAGATCTAACGGGTGAAAATTACAAGTCGATACCGACTAAATATCAGGAGAGACTTCCTAACGGTAAGAGTGGTTGAGCAGTGGCACAGACTGCCTCGGGAGGTAGTGGATGCTCCTTCGCTGGATGTTTTCAAGCGGAGGCTGGACGACCATCTTTCGGGTATGTTGTAGGGCTATCTTCCGGCTATGCTCCTGCAAAGCGCAGGGGGTTGGACTGGATGACCTGCAAGGTCCCTTCCAACTCTAACGTTCTATGATTCTAATGTCATCAACTCCACTGTGGCTGTGGTCACACACACTAAATAATCCGCTTTCAGTGCACTTTCCAGCTGGATTTTACTGTGTGAACTGGCGAAATCCAATTGGAAAGTGCATTGAAAGCGGACTGAAAGTGCATTATTTAGTATGTGTGACCGCTATCTTAGTTCATCTCTGTGGGTGCAGATTCCCTTAAAAGTTCCTTGTCTTTGCGTTCAACCACTGTCAGGGCTTCATACAGCTCTTTACTTCCCCTTTACCCCTTAGGGAAGAGGATTGAAAGTGGATTGTTTAGCGTGTGTGTGACCGTAGCCATAGTTAGCTAGAGTCCTGCCAGCCGGGGTCTGAAACCTAGGTTTTGAAATTAACCCATTAGCCTGTCTTAACGGTGGTTTTGCATGCAAAATGTTTAAGGTGGCTACTCCCTGGAACCAGTCAGTGCAGGGCTCCCCATCTTGCCCACCAACAGTTCTTATGGAGCCTGCAAATGTTTCTAGAACGTGGGATCCTGCCCGCTTTCTAAAAACACTTGATGGGCACCAGAAAAGCCAATGGTGGGAGTCACAGTGCCCACGGGCACCAGGTTGGGGATCCCTGGTCAAGGTCTGATCATCTAAAGAAAACTCCCTTAAAAAAAAAAAATCCCTCCTGCCTTTTGCCTCCAGGTCTGGGCTGTGACAAAACTCGGCACGGAGTTACTCTGCGGGAATGGAACGACCCTCTGGACCCAGATTTAGAAGCTCACTTGATATTCCGGCATCTCCTCGGAGTCCGAGAGGCAATGAAGTGAGTGGCCCCTGATTTGCTGCGACGGGCTTGGGTGGCTTCAGCGGCGATGCTGCTGGCACTTACTTTGGCGTGAGCCCCACTGAGCTAGCTGGGACCGACTTCCAAGCCCACCTGCGTTCAGGCTGGGAACATCCTCTATTTGCAGACGAATGGAGTGCTTGGAATTTAGTACGTGCTGTTCAAAAAGTGAAGCTCCTGGCCGTCAGCTGGTGGTTTGGAGCACAGCAAACCCTTTGGAGCCAATTTCACAAGCGATAATGGGGCTGTTTCGTTCCTTGTCTGCAGGGAGAAGTATCTGGAACTGTTGACACTGGAGAAAGGAGAGAACTTTCCTCTGAACCAAAGTGAAGGTATGTGTCAGAACCCACAGCTTACAACGAAGTGCACGCATTCAGGAACGGTTATACTTTTATTGCAAAGCTATAGATGCAGTAACACAGGCACTGTTGAGAATGGCGGCAACTCATTGAGCATAATAGTCTATAGGGCATTCGTATGCACCCCCCCATGGCATGGGCCAATTAGCTACCCTCCCACACGTGGGACCGGTTAGGAAACCGTTAGGTGGCGAAAGCTGGGAAGCAATAGTCTCTCATGGTACATAGTAGACTTCCAGACAATACAACTTCCAACATAACATCCTCCTGCACATCTGTAGAGATAAGCATTGCGGCACAGGCAGAACAGCAGGGACAGGAATGCAATAGCAAGTACCAAGACACAGAATGAGCTTCCCAACCCCCATGGCAGCATAGCTGACAGTATGAGTCTTAAATAATTGCTGAAGAGGAGAGAATGCTGTCGGGATTGATGGACTTGGTGTTGCGTATTTGTTCCTTAGGATATTTCTACCCTGCTTCTCTCCCCGTGGGGAAGATACTTACGTCATTGTTCGCCTCTTCTCCATTTCATCCTCACAACAGCCCTGTGAGGTAGGTTAGGCTGAAAGAGAGTGACTGGCCTGAGGTCACCCTCTAAGCTTTCATGTCAGAGCGGGGATCTGAACCTGGTTGTCCCAGAACCTAGTCTGACAGGCTAACCACTACACCACACTGTTGCTGGACTGCAAATCAAGAGGTTCTTGGTATGAATCGCACTTCTGGATAGCCCCGGCAAGCCAGATCTCATTGGATCTTGGAAGCTAAGCAGTACTTGGAAGGGAGACCTCCAAAGGAATACCAGGGCCAGGATGCAGAGACAGACAATCGCAAACCACCTCTCTGAAACATCCAAGCCCCACGAGGGGTCGCCAGAAGTCAACTATGACTTCTAGGCGCACCCACGTGCGCGCGCACGCACACACACAAATATTCAGACAAAAAACCCCCAAAGTATGGACACAAATCTGACATCAAGAACTGTAACAATTCCTTGTTTTTGTATGTGTGTGTCTCTTTAAAAGTTTGGTTGCATGGCTGTGGTAGATAGACTAGAGTGGTTGAGAGAGGCAAGTGTGGTATGATTGGTGGTTGACAGAGAGGGGGAGGGGTTTTGGAAGTGAATCTGGGTGGATGAGTATGTGAGTCAGTCAGTAGTTTCAGTTACAAGTTGACAGTTGATGTAGACAGTTCTGTGTTGAAGCAGTTGGAAGTGGACAGCTGCGGTTGTTCAGTGAGAAAGAGAAAGAGAGCTGAAAGCTGAATGTATAGGAAAAAGTAAAGTAAAGTAAGTGAAATAAAGTTAAAGGAAAGTCTGAGTGTCATAACAGACTGGAGTGAAACAGTGAACATATATGGCATTGAGATAAACAAGTGTTACAAAGTTACATGAAAAGATCCCTGTCAGTGAGGGAAAAGATTGAGTGTGATACCAAAGCAATTGTACATCATTTACACATTACTAGTTACATTGTATCACTCTCTTATTTAGTATTTATTTCAATAAATCCTCTTTTATTTAAGTTTATACCAGCTCTGAATGAAATACTTCTCAGGGCCTCATAGTTCCTCGTAAGCCTTGAACTCGGTCTACCAAACTAAAAAGAGCAACAGTAGAAGCATAAAGGTTTGGAAATCCTTAAAATTTCCTGGTGGCAGCAGAATCTACCCAGTTAAACATAATAAAGAGAACTTTTAAAGTGAAAATAGTCCTCCCCAATAAGGAGGACGTCACAAGAACGATTCTCAGAAACTGATGGGTAAACATTTTAACCTCCCCTGGCTGTTCTGTGAGAGATCTGAAAGTAGCCATCCTTAAATGGCTGAATACTCGTGGATGTGTGGAATGGAAGGCAGCAGAAGAGGCATTTTAATCAGAAATTTGATTGTGGTAATGGCCTAAATGGGGGTTGTGGTTTCTTCTCACGGTGTGAGAGCTGGGAGTAAAGTCAGTTTTGGTGCCCTTGGCTTCCCCCACGCATACTCCTTCCTAGCGAGTTCCTGTTTAAATATTCCAACAACTGATTCTCCTAGCTGGCAGCTCACAGTCCCACTAGTATCTCAGGGAGCCAGTAAATAGCCTATACAAATTTGTGCTTTGTAAAATCAGAAACAAGTCTTACCAGTCCTACTCCACTGAGGCACACCAGCCTCTATGCATCTGTGCGCACAACCAGCATTTCTACACCCTGACTGTCAGACTCATGCAGTAATCCGTTCCCAACAGCTTTCATTCAAAGAAGTAAAGTTTATTGAGACATTTTGATTATGCAGCTATCTTGGCACTTTCAGTGTTAGAACTGGCCCAAAGCGCGCGAAGCACACAGATATACATTATTCAAGAAAGTCCCCTGATGGCTCAGGTCCAATCGGAGGCCAGGTAGAAACCTGCCAAAGTAACGGGCAATTATTCTCAGGAGAAAAGTACACCAGACACTCAAGGTCGAAGGCTTCGGTTACATAAAGTAAGACTGGGAATACAGCAGAAATTAAAAATTCCAGTCCCCCCTCACACCCATGGCAGCTAGAACACCCTTTACTTTGTAACACTTGTTTATCTCAATGCCATATATGTTCACTGTTTCACTCCAGTCTGTTATGACACTCAGACTTTCCTTTAACTTTACTTCACTTAAACTTTACTTTACTTTTTCCTGTACATTCAGCTTTCAGCTCTCTTTCTCTTTCTCATTTCACCCTGGCTAGACCGATTTCATCAGACCTCAGAAGCTAGGCAGGGTTGGCCCTGGTTAATACTTGGATGGGAGACCACCACGAAAGTCCAGGGTTGCTACACAGAGGTACCTCAGTTCCTGAGAAGTGTATGTGCACATGAAAGCTCATACCTTGAATAAACCTCTGTTGGTCTTCAAGGTGTCCCCACTGGACTCCAACTGTGTTCTACTGCTTCAGACCAACACGGCTGCCCCACCTGGATCTATGCAGAGGCAGGCAATGGCAAGCCACCTCTGTTAGTCTCTTGCCTTTGAAGACCCCAAGGGGTTGTCATAAGGCTGCGACTTGGCAGCCCTTTCCACTGTCGCTCTGTGCATCAGGGATTAGGGGCCAGGGGTTAAACATTGACACTCCATGCAGTGACGCACCATCTTTTAGGAATCTAAGCACTGTATGTGGTGCGTACAACCCCCTTCCAAGTCTTGCACTGCCTGTCTTTCTCCACCCAACAGAGCTGCAGCAGGTACCTCACATGCAGGGACCAAGGGACGCTCAAATTCCCAGCCCCCCGCTGCATGGCAGAGTGGCCGTGAGTGGCTCATTTCAGCCTTCGATTCATCTCTCATTCATGCTGCAGATCTCGAAAATGCCGATGGACCCACCCTGCTTTTCCGAGTGCTGCAGGATCTGGAGGAAGCGCACGACAAGGAACTCTCCCGCTTGAGGGATCTGGCTGATCAAGAGCAGAACTGCCTGGTGGATCTGCAGACGTGACTCCAGCACAAAACGAATTGTTTGAGCCAGGCCCGATTCTGCCACATCCGTCGGAGCTGCGGCCAACTTCCTGGGACTAAGTCCCTCTGGACTTGCACTCACGTGCTTGGGTGGGGTGGGACGGGGGCTGCTTCTCAGAAGGCCCAGAAGTTGGATCACTCCTAGCTTAACATATAGAGTGAGTTGTCCCCGGTGTGTTCTCAGAACTGAACTGGGAGAGTGAGTTGCCTCCGGTGTGTTCTCAGAACTGATTTGGGATAAAGAGACCCACTGGGTCTGTTTTTTTAAAGCCATCCAAGTTAATGGCCCTTGATGCCCCACGTTGTGACAGTAGATACTGGTTTTGATGGTTTTAAAACGCCATTGGACAAACTGGTGGAAGAGAGGTCAATCAGTGGGTATTAATCACACTGGAACCTTCATATCCGGAGCCAGTCTATCTCCCTGATGACCAGTTGCCATGGGGGAGGCACCTACAATGGGGGGGGGGCTTTGCCCTTTGCGTTTTGCTTGTGGGTCTTGCAGGCCATCCAGCTACATCCAATTTCCCCCCCTCCCTGCTAGGCAATGAGCAATTTTCTTTCTGTATTGTCGCATAGTTGAAGATGAATAAACAGGTGCCGTGGCCGTCTGGCTATGAGGGACAAGGGGAGAGGCACGGGTGCTTCAGCCGTGTGTGTGTGGGGGGGCACCTGCATGGAAACCACCACTCTCCAAGCCAGAGAAACTCTGAATGCACAATAAAGCATTTTTAGCAGGAGCTCCGATTCATGTCTGACTCTGTAGCCCACCACACCCACCTCCCCTCAGCCCCAGTTTCAGGGTTGAACCAGGGTGAGGTCAGTTCACTTTGCCTGATTTTTTAAAAATACATGAGACTACAGGGATCCACCACCTTGTTCAGCCCTTGGGCACTTTTAGAAGGTTGAGAACAGCCGGTGGTGCCACAGTAGAATGGCTGCCCTGGACGGGGTGGTGCCATAACAAAATGGCTGCCCTGCATAGGTAGGCTTGCCAAGTCCCCTGGGGGGGGGGAACCCCGCCCCAGAGGCCCGTTCCCCGCCGCTGGCGGATCGGGCCACGGAGAGAACCCGACCCCAACGTGCACGTCACCAGGAAGTGACGTGACGATGCCGGGGGCGCTGGGGGCGGGGCCACGGTCATCCTAGGTAAAACTCTATGGTTTTCCCTCGGATGGTCATGGCCCCGCCCCCAGCGTGCCCGGTGTCGTCACATCACTTCCGGGTGATGTGCGTGCGGTGCGTGCGGTGCGCGCACTCCTGGAATGAGTTGGGAGTCCCCCGCTCCAGCAGCAGGTAAGACTTGGCAACCCTATGCATAGGGTCATGCTAGGGTTGCTAGCTCTGGGTTAGGATATACATGGAGATTTGGGGGGAGGGGGAGGCTGAGGAGGGCGGGGTTTGGGGAGGGGAGAGTCTTCAATGGGGTCTAATGCCACAGAGTCCACCTTCCAAAGTGGCCATTTTCTCCAGGTGAACTGATCTCTGTCACCGGGAGATCAACTGTAATAGCAGATCTCCAGCCATTACCTGAAGGTTGGCAACCCTAGGTGATGTAGGTTGCCAGGTCCATCTGAAATGCTGGCAGGGGGATGAGGGGGGGAACGTTTCGGGAGTGGGAAGTGATGTCACGCGATGTGCCTACATCACCCAGGCGTGATATAGGCACGTTGGTGACGTCAAGGGGTGACGCTCTGGTTTTTGGTCAAAACTCTATGGTAAAATCAGCCTCAAACCATAGAGTTTTGCCCCCAAACCAGAGCATCATCCACCCACCCACCCCAAGGTCATCGACGTGTCTGTGTCATTTCTGGGTGACTTAGGCATGTCATGTTTATTTCCAGCGACGTAGGTGGGGTTTTTTTGGGGGGGGGGATTTCCTCCCACTGGCCGGTGGTGAGCTAGAGCCTGAAAAACAGGGCAGTCCCCCGCCCCCAACTGGGGGAACAGCAACCCTAAGGTGGCGCCATGACAAAATGGCTTCCCTAAGAGTCCAGTCACAAAATGCTGGGAAGCTCCACAAACTGTAAAGAGGTTCTGAGCCAAACCTCCTCCTGTGCTGGAGGAGGCCGCTTTCTCGGAATGGATGCAGACCTGAAAGTGAGACCTCCGGGTGGGGAGGGGGTGTCTCCTGAAGCATCGCCTGTTGAAGTGAGATGGAGGGACATTCCGTCTTTGGGGGAGAAGCAAGTGGGTGCTGGGAACGAGATCAGAACTTTTTAAGGTTGCCAGGTCCAGTTTGGAAAATACCTGGAGACTTTGGGGGTGGAGCCGGGAGACGGCGGGGTTTGAGGAGGGGAGGGGCCTCAGCATGGCACAATGCCATGGAGTCCACCCTTCAAAGCAGCCATTGTCTCCAGGGGAGCTGATCTCTGTCAGCTGGAGGTCAGTTGTAAAATTGGGAGATCTCCAGGACCCACCTGGAGGTTGGCAACCCTAGAACTTTTTTGAGAGTACAAAAATGTCTGCCTCTACAGAATAATCACTGGTCACTGCTGCCTCCCCAGGTGTAATGCTACACTCTTAGGGTTGCCAAGTCCTTCCTCATCGTTGGCAGGGGACTTTGGGAGGGCCTTGCTGGAGGGGGTGGGGACCAGTGCCCTGCATGCCTGAACTTGGAATGGTGCAGGGTGGGGGGAAAGAGCTCTGAGCCCCCAGTCTAATCAGGATTGGGCCCTTGCCGCATCTTAAAATGACTTTAAAGTTGCTACAGAAAACTTGTAGAGGCCATTATGTTTTGTTAGGCTACGTTTGCTACGTACCTCCTGCCAACCCATTTTAGGAAGGATGTTGGCAAGCTTGAGCGTGTCCAGAAGAGGGCAAGCAGGATGGTGAGAGGGTTGGAATCCAACTCTTATGAGGAAATGTTTAGCCTGGGAAAGAGAAGGCTTAGAGGGGACATGATTGTAGTCTTCAAGTATTCGAAGGGCTGTCATGTAGAAGATGGAGCGGATCTTCTCTCTCTTGCTCCGGATTGCAAGACTAGATCTAACGGGTGGAAATTACAAGGGAGTCGATACCGGCTAAATATCAGGAGAAACTTCCTAGGAGAAACTTCCTAACTGTAAGAGTGGTTGAGGAGTGGCATAGACTGCCTCGGGAGGTGGTGGATGCTCCTTTGCTGGATGTTTTCAAGCGGAGGCTGTACAACCATCTTTCAGGTATGTCGTAGGGCTATCTTCCGGCTATGCCCCTGCAGAGTGCAGGGGGTTGGACTAGATGACCTGCAAGGTCCCTTCCAACTCTAGCGTTCTACGATTCTATGTTTCTATAACCCACAGAGAGGTGGGGACGGGGACTGTCACTTCTGGAGCCCACCTGAAGGGATCTCTGTGGGATGCTCTGATATACTTTGGCAAAAATGCTGTGGTAGAAGCAATGCCAAGTGTCCTGTGTCACTGGGGTGTTAGGCGAGGACTTCCTGGTTGCCAGTAAGTCTCCCCCGCTGATCAGCCCCCTGGGATAGGGTTGCCAACTCTGCATTTGGGAAATTCCTTTAGATTTGGAGGTTAAACGGGGGGGGCAGAGTCTGGAAGGGGAGGGAGCTCAGCAGGGATGTGATGCCAGAGAAGACCTTCTGGAGCTGCCATTTCCCCTCCAGGGGAACTGATCTCTGCAACCTGGAGAGCAGCTGTGAGTCTGTGAAATTTTCAGGGCCCCCCCCCCCACCTGTAGAGTAGCACTTTTATCACAAAAGCCTGTATTCTGGGAAATTTTGTTGGTCCCCCCAAGGTGTTTTTGTTGTTCAGTCGCACAGCCGAGTTCAACTCTTCGCGACCCCATGGACCAGATCACGCCAGGCCCCCGTCTTCCGCCGTCCTCTGAAGTTGGCTCAATTTCATGTTCGTTGCATCGATGACACTGTCTAACCATCTCATCCTTTGCCGTCCCCGTCTTCTTTGACCTTCAGTCTTTCCCAGCATCAGGGTCTTCTCCAGTGAGTGCTCCCTTCTCATTGGGTGGCCAAAGTATTGGAGCTTCAGCTTCAGTATCTGGCCTTCCAGGGAACAGTCAGGGTTGATTTCTTTTAGGGTTGACTGATTCGATCTCCTTGCAGTCCAAGGGACTCTCAAGAGTCTTCTCCAGCACCATAATTTAAAAGAATCTATTCTTCGCCGCTACCGGGGCTGAAATTGTGTTCTACAGCCCCGCAACTCTTTTCTATGCAGAGAGGAACTGATAAGGAGGTCTCACTTTGACCGGTGAGCGCTCGCTTCCTAGTGTGTGCGTGCAAGTACTGCCTTCAATAATTTTAGTTTTCAAAACTCATAGGATGCGAGGACAAACTTAAATCTAAATCAGGACTGAAGGCGGGAGGGAAGCGTGCGAGACCTGTGTGGCGCCCTAGCGCAGCCTTTCACACTGAAAGCGACGGTGTCTGGTTCCTCCTCCTGGCCGCCAGGGGCGCTCGCCTCCACCGCTCTCTACCGTCGCTTCGTGAAGGCGGAAGTGGAAGCGCAAACTCCTACCCGGAAAGGGAAGTTCTTGGGAAAGGAGAAGAGCCGTGCGGGGAATTATGAACGCGCCTCCGGCCTTCGAGTCCTTTTTGCTCTTCGAGGGGGAGAAAAAGTGAGTGGAGAAGGGGAAGGAAGTAGGTGGGGACGGGAGGGAGAGGGCACCACAAGGGAGGCGCGAGAGATTGGGTGCACTGTGACCCTTGCGCGCAGGCATGTTCAGGCTCACTCCCTGGCATTTGAGGCTAAACTAGATGCCCGCAAACTTTGTTGTGCATCCATTACCTTTAATGTACATTAAAACCATGTGGTTAATGGGGTAGAGGATAAAAGGGGGGGGGGGGACACCGAAGTTCGACTGCGGTCGTGGAGTTGGAAGGCAGGTGAAATGCTCCGAAAGTGAGGCTGCTACGGTTGGACATCACGGAAGATAAAGACTATCTAGTAGCAGGTGTTGGAAAAGACTGTTCTCTAGCAAAACGGGTACTTGGTGCCCGTCAATACAGGCAGTACTGGACCACATGAATGAAGCGTCTTATAGTATAAGGCAGTTTCTTGTGTTTGCTTTTTCACCATCTACAAATTGGCCTTAGCAATACGTATGGAGAAGAATCAGTAAACCTATGAAGTGCTATTTAGCAGTAAGGCTTTACTGATGGAGTGAGGTACTTTGCATGCCGAAGGTCCCACCTTCAGTCCCCAGATGAAGAATCGACTCTCAAGTAGCAAGTATTGGGAAAGCCATTTCTGTGCCGGCTGAGACCCTGGAGAGCTGCTGCCAGAAAGTAGACAGTACTGGGCTACATGGAACAATGGCCTGACTTTGTATGAGGAAGTTTCAGAGATCATACATAGACAGAGTGTCTCAGCTTTGTTTTTAAAAATGTCTCTGACTTGCTGGCACTAATGTCTGCCCCGCAAAAAACCCAAAGCAGTCCCCAGGCCAGTTACACAACCTGAAGGAGTTAGGGTGTTCAGATGCCAAAGTTCACTGCTTGTGAGGTGTTTATATGACAGTTACTTTGGATGGTTATGCACATGTGGAAAGGTGGTAGAGTGTGCATCATAAAGCCCCCAAGCATATCTAATGAAAGGATTTCAAGGAAATACTTTTTGGCCTGAAACTCCAGGGTATCCCAGTCAAAGCATAGCTAGGATGGGTGAGTGGTCTTGCAGTTTCCGGCATGGTAAGGGAGATAGTGGAGGGGGGACATAAGTGGGAGAAAGAAAAAAAGACTGTATAAGGGAAGGCGGGGGGGGAGTGGCAAAGATATGTGCGTAAGTGCTTTCAAGTTGCAGCAGACTTATAGGAATCCCAAAGGGTTTTCAAAACAAGAGACATACAGAGGTGGTTTGCCATTGCCTACCTCTGTGTCGCAACTCTAGACTTTCTTGGTGGTTTCCCATCTGAGTAGTAACCAGAGCTGACCCTGCTTAGCTTCCGAGATCTGGCTAACCTGGGTTATTGTCACAGGCTGGGCCGAGAGGCGGGAGTCAGGTCCGGTCCGAGGTTGTTGCCAGGAGAGTCAGAGCTAAAGCCAAATCTTGAGTCCGAAAGAGAGATCGTCCGAAGCAGAGGTCAGGAAGCTGAGCAAGAGTGGGGGTCTGAGAGCAGGAGCCGAAGGTGGATGCAAGGTCAACACGGAGGTGACTTGTTGCTTCCACAGCGTGTCCAATCCTGAGTGGGAGCTATATAGGCCTCCGGCCGGGTTTCCCTTGGTGGTGGCGGTGCTCCTGCTAATATTCAGGACTCAATGCTCACCTTCCTTGCTAGTGTGCGTCTCGGTGGCAGATAGCTAAGTTTCTACAGAGACACTCCCTCAGCCGAACCACCCATGGAGGTGAGTCAGGGGGGCTCCCTGGTTGCACCTGTACCTCATCAGCTGCTGCAGGATCAGGTGTGAGGCTTACAGGCGCTGGCAGCAGCATGCTATCAACTCCTGAGGAGTCATAGGGGCTGGCTCTGGCAGTGCTGGCGCCTCTGGCTGCAGTGCCAACTCAGGTGGGGACTCAGCGCAGTCATCATCGCCCGTGACAGTTATCCAGTTCAAGGTAGCAAAGGTGGGGTACAAAAAAGGAGAATGCAGCCCTTCATTTGCTAACATTGTAATGACTAGAACAGTTTGTTTACTGGTATTTCAGTAGTTTGGTTGTATGTGGGCAGAGGAGGCGTGAACACCTGAAGCTGCCTTATACTGACTCAGACCCTCAGTCCATCAAGGTCAGTATTGTCTACTCAGATTGGCAGTAGCTCTCCAGGGACTCAAGCAGAGGCCTTTCACATCACCTAGTACAGTGGTTCCTCGGTGGAACAGGCTTCCTTGGGAAGTGGTGGGCTCTCCTTTGGGAGTTTTTAAACAGAGGCTAGATGGTCATCTGAAAGCAGTGCTGATTCTGTGAACGCAGGCAGATCATGATAGGGAGAGCAGGGAGGGTTGTATCAGTGCTTAGTTCCTGTGGCCCTTTCTTACACGCCCAGGGAAATGCCGATTGCCACTTTGGGATCAGGAAGCAATTTTCTCCAGGCCAGTTTGGCCAGGGATCCTGGAGGTTTTTTTGCTATCTTCTGGGCATGGAGCAAGAGGGGTGGTGGGGTTGGGGAGGTAGTTGTGAATCTCCTGCATTGTGCATGGGGTTGAACTAGATGACCCTGGAGGTCCCTTCCAAGTCTGTGATTCTAGTACCTGATCCTTTTAACTGGAGATGCCAAGGATTGAACCTGGGACCTTTGCATGCCAAGCAAATGCTCTACCACTGAGCCACAGCCCTGTCCCTAAGTGCTTCTTGACTTCACTGGTTCTCCAAGCACCTGTCCCATAGCAAAATGCTTGGAGTAACTTCTTTGGGTATATCTATTAACTACTGTAAACATTGCCTTTTTTACCCCCATGCCTCTCCCCCCCCCAGGATTACAATAAACAAGGATACCAAAGTACCAAATGCCTGTCTGTTTACCATCAACAAGGAAGACCACACACTTGGGAATATCATTAAATCGTGAGTAACAATTTGTGGCATTTTACTTAGAAGCATCATCTGGATAAAACGGTGGTAAAAGGGATCATCTTTTTTTCTCCCAGTTCGAGTTCAATATTGGGGTCCATCCTACCCCACCTACCCTTTTGGGGTTGACAGAAACTTGTGCCCCCTTCTGTCTTCATTTGATGACAGGTTTTTATGCTGTGCTGGTTTTATGTATTAAGGATTTTAATAAAGCTTTTTAGGCTGTTGCATTTGGGCTTCTTAATGCTGCCTGTGCTGCTGTTTTTATTATTTTCATGCTAAGCAGGGAGCTTAGAGTGATGGATGGTTAAGTATTTTCAGTAAATAATACATTGGCCTCTAGCTCTCATAACCAAGTAGAATTTCCACGTTCCCAGGCAGTATACTAGGAACGTACAGAATGCTGGGGAAAACAAAGGGAGGACATTGCTTTCCTTGTTTTGCAGTTGAGTTTCCTGACGGATTGGGCTGGCCCCACTATCAAAATGCTGCATTATTGTGGCTGGTTTCCTAACAGGATCATTTTGCCGCTCTCTCCTTTTTTGTTTTTCAGGCAACTGTTGAAAGATCCTCAGGTGCTGTTTGCAGGATACAAAGTCCCTCACCCCCTTGAACATAAGATCATCATCCGGGTCCAAACCACTCCCGACTACAGTCCCCAGGAAGCCTTCACCAATGCTATCACAGATCTCATCAGCGAGCTCTCCCTGCTGGAGGAAAGGTTCCGGGTAAGCTGGCATCCCCCACTGAACCTCGACACTGCTCTCACGACGTGGGCAATTTCCCCACAGAGACGGGCTTGTGTGGTTTCCCCCTGTGGCTGTTGCTGGAGCACAGTGGCAACAGAGTTTCCACATGGCAGGTCTTTCCCAGGCCCCCAAGATGGCCAATTCCTCCCTGCCATCAGGGGGCTTGTTCAGAGTTGTTGTTTTTAAATTGGTGATTGACGTATTTTACAGCATTATAGCAGTCTTTCAGGTTCTTTGAATTCCCAGTATTTTTTTGTTGAGCAGATAAAGGGAAAGGCCATATCTCCACAAGGAGAGGAGCTGGACAGTTTTAAAAAAATATGAATGCTGGGAATTTGGAGAACCTGCTAGATGGACTGTTAGAACATAATTACAGTTGCCACTGGAGGGGGGGGGGAACCCCTTTGAGCCTTGGTATGACCAGGAAGATCTAGACTTTGCTGTCCACATGGGCAGCAGCCTTATTTAAAATTCTAAACCGTTTCCTTTTAATATTTTCCCCGGCATTATTGCTTTTTCAACCAGAAAGTAGATAGATTAGATTGCACTAAAAGTTCTCTCTCTCTCTTTCTTTCTCAGGTTGCCATAAAAGACAAACAAGAGGGAATTGAGTAGTTAAATGTCATTTAGCACCTTTGTAAATAACTAGTTTTTCATGTTTGTAATTCTTATTTGCTGCTTTGTAACTTCCAAGAAGTGTTATTTCCTGACTTCTGCATAGGTTTCATTGTGATAGATACAGTGTTTGTTGGCTAATAAAAGTTTGTTTCTAATATGTGAGATGATGATCTCTGATCATTATTTTCTTAGCTGAAGTATATTCATTTGTTCTTCATTACAACAAGACTCCTATAGAACAGGAAAGGGTTTGTGCTACTGTGGATGCAAGGTGTGGAATGGTCTGTTCTGAGAGCTGACAAAAGACGATATTTGTCTGTTCTGAGAGCTGACAAAAGACAAGGACCCGCCCACCCAGCGGTTCGAAAGCAAGACGCAAGTAGATGAATGGGTACCAGCCCTTAGGTAGCAGGGGGCACCCTCCTCCTCGTGGGGTGTGTGGCAGCAGCAGCAGTATCGGCGATGGCAGCGGAGCGATGGCGGAGTGGCTGAAGGGTGTTCCTGAACACGATGGCCCCGATGGGAGGCGGAGACTTGAGGTGCGGCGGCGTGTCGGCACGGCACAGAGGAGCCAAAACAGACGTTGGCCGAGCAGTAGCTGGCGAGCCGCGCACCGAGCAATGGACCTGCCAGAAGCCGCAGGAAGACCTGCCCCAGGAAACCGGAGGTGGAGCGCCTGCCAAGAGCCGACCACGCTGAAAAAACCATCAAGCCCTGCTGCCTGGGTGCGGATAGGCAGCCATCCCCCTTGATAAAATGTGGCCCTAGATTAGGATTAAAATTGAATTGTAAACCGCTCAGAGACTCTTCGAGGTTGGAGCGGTCTAGAAATCGAATGCATAAATAAATAAAATAAATAAAATATTTGGGTGATTAACTGGGACAATAGATTTGGGGGATTGGAGCACGGCATATTAAGGTTTTCTAAAACTTTTGTTGGTATTTTTAATCCACTGCGACCTCCTGTCCAATACCAGGATGGGGCAGGATACATACCTAAAAGTACATCATTCTGTTTCCTAGCCATTCGTTCCTCCTGACTTTACTTAAAAAAAAATACTGAGATAATCTGGTATCAAGTTTTATTAAATACTGTCTTTCTATAAAACAAATACACTTAATACACCAATGAAGCAAACTCACAGTTAAAAGATGCAGGGATTGGCAATAACAAGACATGGTTCTAACCAACCCCTTTTGTTGTTTTTTTTCTTGCATTGATAACATGAATTTAAGATTTCCCCTTCTGCTTATTCTCTGTGAATGGTCACAAATACTGCACTACTGAAACAGGACGAAAAATGAGTCTCCTCTCCTTTTGGGGGGTGGGCAGCAAGCCAGGCCAGCTAGGCTTTCTTCCATATCGCAGCAATGTTTACATCAGTTAGAGCCACCAGGTAAGTGAAGGAGGGGTCCGCGACCACGTTGTTCACCAAGACATCTGTCAATGGCTCTCCGTTTGCTTTCAGTTCCGGCCACTTGAGAACCTGCATGGAGTCAAAGCGGGAGAGCAGGAGACACTTGCAGACCAAGGAATGCAGCTGCATTGGCTTGCTGACACTTTTTGATATGTATTACATTGGGGGTTTTTGCAGCCACCAAAGGGTGTGTGTTGATACATGTACTGTCCATGATCACAAGGAGGCAAGGAAGCAAAGATAGTATGCAGACGGTCAGGCAGAAAGTAAGAGTGCAGAGCTGCTAATATTGTGTGTGTTCACATGAACAGGAACCTGTACTTTGATGAACTGGACAGAGGCATTTTAGAGTAATACATGCTCCATTTACATACGCCGGTGTGTTTTAAACAGAGGAAATAAATCTCTCTTTCATTAGATGTAAATAAACCCTAAACTATGTGTGGAGGGCATAATCACTCCAGCCTCACTGTGATAGAAAGCCTAATCTGTCAGAAGGGGTGCACATGGTGCAGGGGCACTTAAGCATCTTGTTCAAACAAGCAGTTCTGTTTTCTTAAGAAAGACTTGGGCAAACTGAGCTGGGGGAAGCTTATGCATGCAGGTTTCTATGTGACCATCTGGAAGGCTTAGATGTGAGGGAGTCATCTTTCTTCAGCTTGGCCCAGAGGAAAGATGCCACCTAACAGCCTGGACATAGTTACAGCCCCAAAATAAAGACATAACTCCTGCCCCCTTCTTATTATAGAAACCGTGCCAGATGCAGAGGAGACCTGTGAGTAACTGCAGCTCTAAAACTCACCCCCCCCCCCTTCCATGCTGCACCAATAATTCAATAGTGAATGGGAGGCTTTCAGCATTACTCATCTGGCACGGGCGCTCTGACCACCAGATGGTGGTGTAGCCACAACTGTGCAAAATAAGGTAAGGATATTAACTAGGCCAGAAACTTCAGAAAATTAAAAGAGATCCTTCATGCATTGATCTGATCATTTCGTGGAAGGAATTTGCTTATGCAACTGTTCCAAGGAAACCAGTCTGCAATTTGACATCTCCAACAGCCCAAAACGTTTTTTTTGTGTTGCATACAAATTCAGTCTACAGAGACACTCTTTTAGGAGGGTAGCCATGTTGGTCTGCAGGAGAAGAGTCCGATTCAACTCCAGTAGTACCTTAAAAGACAAAAAGATTTTTTTTTGGGGGGGGGGGGGGGAGAAGAGAAATGAGCTTTCAAGAGTGACAGCTCCCTTAATCAGATATCTGACAAAGGGAACTTTGACTCTCAAAATCTTATACCAGGAATCTTGTCGTTCTCTAAGGTGCAACTGGACTCGAATCCAGACAGTTCTTGTAACTCTCGAGTCAACTGTGGACAGGGCCCAAGCCACAAACCCCCACCAGGTGAGCTGCCTCCCTACCTGTGAGGGCCCTATTCTCTTCGTCACGCGGTCTTCCTTGGTAGCGTTCAGAGCCGACAAGTGGTTGCTGAGGTCATACAGCCACACACTTCCTTTCTCGTCGCCACAGAATACGTACTCTTCTGCTGCAGGAGCACAACAAAAGCAGAGTGTCCAAATCGCAGTGTACGGGTTTCAGTCGGAAGATTTCTTTACGCAGCTCGCCGAAGTGGAGAAGCTGCCACTTACTTGGGCACGTGCTGAGCGTGAGGTACGGCAGGTCTGTCGAGGACCATTCCAGTTCTGCCAGGATGACCGCCTGCACCGTCCTCCGAGACCCCTTCCCTTGTTCTTTGAAAGACCGGCTCCAGCTCCAGAGGTTTATGGACCCCATCTTAGAACTTTTGGTAACTGCAGAGGAGATAGGGAACTAGGTTTTGCTACTAGAACAACTTTTCTTAGAAAATTGGGTGTCTGTTGGTTATGGTAACCTTTTTTTTATTTAAAAAAAGGAACTGCAATCCAGTGGCCGGAAAAAGTGCTGAATTAAGCCTCGGAAGCCCTGGATTGGAGTCCTGCTTCTGCCATGTCCTTGCCTAATGTCTCGCTCACTCACTTGTAAAATGGGATGAGGGCCTACCTCACAGGGCAGTGGTGAGGGCATATACAGTAAAGCAGCCTGCAAATCGGAAGCGCTATCTAACAGGCCACATCTTCAGTAATTCCATGCAAAAGGTAGAATTTAGTACTCAGGCAATCATTTTTTTTTAATGTGGAGTTTTTAATCTTTGCCTTCTGAACTGAAGAGTGGTTTCAGTATCGTCTAGGACTAAAAGGGCCAGAAACACAGGTCAGGGTAAAGCTGATTTAGAAATGTGGACATAGGTAGCCGCCTTACACCATAGGTCATTGGTCCATCTAGCTCAGAATTGTTGTCTTCTTAAAATTTAGTTTGTTTTAAAATGTTTATTTTTAAAACCAAATTTCTATTAGTCAGTGGGAGGGGCTTCAGAGCTTTCAAAATGCATACAGGTAAAGAACTGATTTGGTGAAGCATTCCTTTCAAGCATGTCCCATCTGCTGCAGTAAAATATATATATATATTAGTAGACTATATGTCTTTCTGATTCGCAAAGCAACCTGGACAGACACACAGAGGCAACTGTCTGGAGGCAGACCATTGGTCATTCAAGCCCAGACTTGTCACCTCTGACTGGCAGCTGCTCTCCAGGGTCCTGGGAAGAGAAAGACTTCCTCAACAGCTTCTGCCAGGGATTGCACCTGGGTGGGTCCTTCTGCATGCCAAAGCCAAACTCTCTGCTCACCAGTGTTCCCTCTAAGCTGAGCTAGTGTGAGCTAGCTCACAGTTTTTTAGCCTTCGGCTCACACATTTTTGACTTGGCTCAGGAAGGATGGCTCCAAAGCAACTAATTTACACAGTAGCCAAATGGCTCGCTCACAACCTTAACGCCAATAGCTCACAAAGTAGAATTTTTGCTCGCAAGACTCCACAGTTTAGAGGGAACATTGCTGCTCACTTGTCCTCTTACTGTACAATCCCAAACAGAGGTACATCTTTCTAAGCCCACTGACTTCAATTGACTTAGACGGGCATAACCCTGTTTAGGACACCACTGTTAATCTATCAAAACTAATTCCCTGACAGGAAATCGTTGTTGGTTCTCGACCTAACTGCTGCATGTCTGGATGTAGATTTGGTTTCAGCGAATGGGGGTTTTGGCTTTCAAGAACATGACCGCAAGAGCAAAAATTAAAAAAATTAATTTGGATGCAAGTTCCCTACCCACAATGTCTTCATTCAAAAAGGCCAGGCCATCCACCCGGTGGGAAGAAGTCTCATTCCCCGCATCATCCGGGAACTGAAACTCCACTTCATGAGGTCTGAAACATTGGAAGAGCACAGTCACGGTGGGGGAGGGTGGGGAGGAAGGAAACAAACACACCCTCCTATTGTGAATCATCCCTCAAGTAATCTGAATTCAAATTTGTATCCATCTCAGGTTTCGTGGGTTTTAAATAAAAATGAAATGATGAGGGAGGCTTTTGCAGGAAAAGAAAACCAGGACAGCAGCAATAATATTGTCTAAAGTACCACACTGGCGGCTTGGCCAAGTACAGGAAATCTTGATGCAAAAATCAGCCCTAAAAATGGCCTTAGGCCACTTGCCCAGCCCGATTTATCCTCACAACAACCCTGTGAGGTAGCCTGGAAGAAACTGTTTGGTTTTTTTAACCCATGAAAAGTGCTACGGGATTTATATAACCGAAGAAAAACCGCTGACAGAGCCCCCTCCACTTTCTCGGAAAGAAAATACGACTCGCCTGTTTTTCGGTTGCTTCTCATCCACTCTAATGTCCCAGGCAAAGCAGCCTTTCTCACAGCCAGCCACCAAGTACCGGTCTGGGCAAGACGGAACGAGGGCAATCCTCAAAGGCGTGTCAACCGTCTCCAGCACCATCAGCTGCCTGTCAAGCGAAAGCACTTCTCAGTTCCCACTTCCCATTAGTAGCCCCCCCCCCCCCCGCGCAGGCCTGAAAAGTGGCTTCTATTACCATTACCTTTCTTTGAAATTATAGTCGCAGTCTGGCACTCCGATGTCCCACACGCATATTTTCTTGTCATAGGAGGCAGCTGGGGGGGGGGGGGGGGGGGTGATAAAACATACAGCCAGGTGAGGCACTAGTAATACATAAAGGCAGCCTTGTAATGCACCCCTGCTGCCCTGCCTGGTCCATTCATGCTCACACCCAGCTCCTGCCCAATCAACTGAGTTCACAGAAACTTCATGTGCTCCTAGGTATTGGGATAGGATCCTGTTCTGAAAATCAGGCCACAGACAGGACCACAGTCCTTTGCCTCAGCTATACCACCTTTTGCAGGGGTGGAAACTAGCCAGAGGGTCAAAAGTACTGATTTTACTGACCAAAATTCCAAAAAAACTGACCAAATACTGACAAATTACTGAACAATTTAATGTCAGCCTACTGATAAGCTAGCATTTTAAATGTAAAACTAGGACTTCATTAAAAATTATTATTATCTGGCCTCCACCATCCCCGTAGCCAGCCCCATAGTTAGATGTGACCCAGATAAAAGGATTGCACACCTTGTTATTGGGGGTTTTTTATATACAGAGGACAATGTTTTCATTATTGTACAAAATTTAAGACAAAAAAAGATTTCCTTTTACAAAATAGTCACATACTGCAGATAATAAAACAGCAAAACAGCAAAAACATATTAAAAACTAAACATCAAGTATTAATTATGACAACAAAACATAATTACTGTAAGGTAAGACTTGTCTTTGCTTTTACTTTAGCTTTGGTTTTTTGATGAAAAAAGAACCGGCCAGCAGCCTGCCATCCCTGGTGGAGGCTGTGTCGGGCTGGGCATCGGAACACCCTAGACCGATTGTCCTGCGTGATTTCAATGACCATGCGGACGATGTGGCCTCCACTCAGGTGGTGGACCTAGTGTCATCCGTGGTGGCGCTGGCACTCTCTCAATATGTAACTGTAAAGAAAATGCTTTTCTTAATTGCGAGTGTTTGCCTAACCCTTGGTTCAGGCCTGGTATTGGGCCTGCAGTAAAAACTTCCTGAGTGACAAGCGAGTGAATCTTCTCCCCAGAAACAGATAGCACTGAGAGCACTTAGTAACCTTGGAGAAATTGCTCCAAGCTGTGGCTGATAAGGAGACTGGGATGCTGACCATTAGGCACATTCCAGCCAATTAACCCCCCAACACCTGCATGTAGGCAGGTCGAGAGTTATGCTACAGATAGCTTTCGATTCCCTCCTCCCTGCCGAAATATCATGGGCTATTATGGAGTATCCTGGGATGCCGTTTGCATGGTAACCCAAAAAAGTTGACATCACTTTCCTGACCCACCACTGGGTAGAGACCTAGCCCAAGGAGGGGCCAGTTTCTTATAAGAATCTGTTCTACTCCAGCTCTGGTTCTGGTTGTCTGATGCTAGAGACATAACTGTTTGTCAATAGTACCAGTGGCAACCCGCACTGGGGCTGTGAGTACTGAGCCTAGTATGGTCCAGTAGTTCAGTACCCCAAACTATGCTGTTCCAGTTTGCTTATGCCTGGAAGGACTAAGAGATGTCTACAAATGGACCCTATGTGGCTTCAAATGGCCCTGCGGGATCCAATGCCCCCTGGCGGCTCGTTAGATGAGCTCATAGAGGATCAGCATAGCTGACTCTCAGCAGCCATCGATGAGATCGCTCCCTGATGCCCTCTGTGCCCTCACTCTAGGCTGGTTCCTTGGTTTACCCAGGAGTTGTGGCTGATGAAGCGAAGGCTAAGATGGCTAGAGAGACAGTAGTGGTGTGCCTGCGACGAAGCCACAAGAACATCTTATAGATCCATTTATGAGATCCTGAGATGGCAGTCAAAGCCGCTGAGAATATTACACGGCCACGATTGCGTCCGCAAGCTCATCCCCAACCCAGTTATCTAGAATAATTCGGTTTATGACTGTTCTGCCACAAGACCAACCAAATGTTAGGGAATTGGACACTGGCTGTGAGGCCTTTGTGATCTACTTTGCAGATAAAGTCCTGTCGCTCCGCCGTGACCTCCCCACCACAGTTGAGACAGTAAGTGATCTTCTAGTCAAGTTATGGATTATTTCAGTCCACTCAGCCTGGAGGAAGTTGACAAACTGCTCTTAACTGTATGCCCTATCACGTGCTGCCTTGACCCGTCCCCATCATGGCTAACTAAAGATGCCCTAAGGGAGATTATCAACAAGTCCCTCTCGGAGGGACAGTTCCCTAGGGCACTCAAGGAAGCTGTGGTTCATCCCCTCCTGAAAAAGCCATCTCTGAATCTGGCCAAATTGGCTAATTACCGGCTGGTCTCCAATCTGCCCTATTTGGGCAAACTAACGGAGAGGACTGTGGCAATTCAGCTAGAGAGCTTTCTGGATGACACTTACATTCTAGATCCTTTCCAGTCCGGTTTCCACCCAGGCCACAGGACGGAGACGGCACTGGTCGCCCTCACGGATGACCTCTAGAGGCATCTGCATCGGGGCGGATTGGCAGTGATGTTGCTGTTGGACCTGTCGGCAGCGTTCAACATGGTCGACCATCAGTTACTGATCCACCACCTCGCCGACACTGGAGTCCAGGGGCCTGCCTTGCAATGGCTGGTTTCCTTCCTTCAGGGTCAGGGACAAAGGCTGGGGCAAGGGGAGCAGCTATCCCAAAGGCACCCACTGATTTGTGGAGTGCCCCAAGGGGTGGTGCTGTCCCCAATGTTATTTAACGTCTACATGTGCCCCCTTGCCCAGATTGCCCGGAGGCATGGTGCTGGGATGTCACCAGTATGCAGATGACATCCAGTTCTATCTGTTGTTGGGCGGCCAGTCTGACTCTACACTGGAAGACCTGGACTGGGCGTTGTAAGCTGTAACTGGTTGGCTGAGACTGAACCAACTGAAATTGAATCCAACGAAGGTGGAGGTCCTGTGCCTGAGCCAGGGTGGCCCAAGGGTAGGGATCCCTCTTCTGACCTTCGATGGGGCGCCATTGGTGCCAGCACTGAAGGTCAGGAGCTTGGGAGTGCTCCTGGATGCCTCACTAACAATGAAGGCCCAGGTAGCAGCCACTGCCAAATCAGCCTTTTACCACCTTGGCTGATTAGGCAGTTGGTTCCCTTCCTCAAATACAATGACTTGGCAACAGTGATCCATGTGATGGTCACCTCAAGATTGGACTACTGTAATACTCTCTACATGGGGCTGCCCTTGACCCAAATCCAGAAGCTACAGCTAGTGCAAAATGCTGCAGCCAGGCTTCTGATGGGCCTCCCTATGCATGAGCACATTTAGCCTGTGCTGAAAGCATTGCAATGGCTGCCGATAGCATACCAAATTCGCTTCAAGGTGCTGGTAGTTACCTTTAAAGCCCTTTATGGTCAGGGGCCCACATACCTGAGGGAACACCTTTCCCCACACGTTCCCCAAAGAGCACTGCACTCAGGGTCACAAAATCGATTGGCCTCCAAGGTCCTAAAGATGGCCAGGCTGGCCACAACCAGGGCCAGGGCCTTCTCAATGGTGGCTCTGTAGTGGTGGAATGAGCTCCCAGAAGATATCAGGGCCCTCGGGACCTTTTACAGTTCCGCAGGGCCTGCAAGATGGAGCTCTCCCACCAGGCCTTTGACTAAGGACCTGCACCAAATAACATCAAGTAACTGAGAAGTGACAGTGCCCTGGTCCTTGGCTTACCATCAACAGCCTGTGCTGCTGCCTAAATATAGAGACCAAGACGAGCCAACCACCAATATAGATCATCTGATTACAACACTAGTATTGGTTCTGCCTTCTGTAAGCATTGTTATAAGTACCTGATTATTTACTAGCACTTTATGATAATGTAGAGTTTTATTATTTGTTTTAAGATTGTATATAATTTGTTACCTATATGTTTAATCTCTTTGCAAGCCACCCTGAGCCTGCTCTGGCGGGGAGGGCAGGGTATAAATAAAGTTATTCAAGAACTCTTTCGTTTCTCAGCAGTTTTCTGCACTGCATCCACAAGCATTTTCTCCCCTTATCCTCTTCTTCCATTGCTTTCTCAACTCCTTCTAGCATGAGCTGTGGCCATGTTGAATCCCACAATATCTATCACCTCTACTTTCATTGTGTCATGTTTTAAGAGGTTAATTATGTTTCTATACTTTGTGGAAGATTTCACCAAATCACTTTTACTCTTAGGAACAAAGTCCTTAAAGTATAACTAAACTGAAAACAATCTGTCTTCTCACTGGGAACTCATCATATTTGCCCAAAAATGCAGTAATGAAAACGGAAAAACACAAACTGCATTCACAAAAATCAAAGAAATACTGACTTTACTGACCAATTTTTTTTAAAAAACTGACAAATTACTGACCAAGATGAAAAAACTGACTTTTACTGATTTTACTGACCATTTTCCACCCCCACTTTTGTGATATCGCAGTATTTGGCACTGAGTGCTCCCATCGAATAAACCTTTATTCATTGCAGGGATGTATTTCTAGCCTTTGTGGCTGAAGAACTACTTCTAAAGGCAACGGTCAAAGGGGGGTAAGGGACTGTGAACAGGGTTTTATAGACTGAAGCCGTCTCCCTTTTCCTAGAAGCATTTCCTGGGTTCCTTCTCCCTGTGCCTGGGACTTCCTTTGATAGTACTTCAGCTAAGACTGCATAACTAGATCACATCCCACTGCAGTCCACAGGACTGAAGCACGATGATAGCTTGCTGCATTGCAGGCTCATAAAATGGATAGTAAGAGGGAATTCTCACTGCTGCCCAGCACCTCCAGACTGCACATCTAACCGAATGCACATTCAGGCAAACATCTGCACAGTTTATCATTCAAATAGTTTAACAGGTCTGAGGTGAATTTACAGCATCTGACGGTTACAGCTCAAAATTCCAGGTTTAGTCCTGTAGCAAGCATGTTGTTACCCACAGGTAAAGGCAGCTGTTTCCTGCTTTCGAGAGGCAAGCCACAGGGTGCATGAATGACTCAGAGAGGGAGACTTACTGAAGAGATGTGTCTCGGTGATCGGACTGAAGCAGGCGGTAGCAATGGGCTTCTTGTGAGCCTTGATTTCTCCATAGCAATAGTCAGCGGCCACGTGAATCAGCTTCACGATTCCTCGTCTCCCGGCGGCAGCCAGGACATTGTGCCTTTTTTTGCGTCCGTCGCTGGTCACCATTGTCAGTGTTGTCCATGTGACAGTGAAAAACTCCTGTCAGAAACAGCAGAGGGAAAAGAAGCACCAGATCAGAAGTCAGGCTGTTAACGTGAACAGACTACAGAGGTTTTGGTTCCATAGAAGAAGAAAAGATTGGATTTATACCCCGCCCTTCACTACCCAAAGGTGTCTCAGAGCGGCTGACAAACTCCTTCCCCTTCCCCTCCCCACAACAGACACCCTGTGAGGTGGGTGGGGCTGAGAGAACTCTGACACAAACTGCTCTTTTTCGAGGACAGCTGTGCCAGAGCTTGTGACTGACCCAAAGTCACATCAGCAGGTGCAAGTGGAGGAGTGGGGAATCAAACCCGGTTTTCCCAGATTAGAGTCCGCACACTTAACCACTACACCAAACTGCAAGCCATGGATTAAAACAGCCAAATAGACCGAACATCCTGTATTGGGTACACTGGTTCAAAACTGGTTTATAAGGAAGAGAAAGGCATAGTATGACTCCTACAAATAAATAAAATACCTGACTTCAGACACCAAAGCCAAATGAAGCATGGCTCTGGAAGACCTGGAAAAGGGCAATCAAAATGGTCAAGGGGTTGAGGCACCTTCTCTGTTGTGAAAGCCAAAGTGTTTGGGGAGTCACAGTTTAGAAAAACAATAATTACTAAGAACATCACAGAAGATGACAGAATTATGCACGAGGCAGAGAAAGTGGATAGGAAGGAATTCTCCCTCTCCCATAATACTAGAACTTGGGGTCGTTCAACGAAGATAAGGGCAGTAGCTTCAGAAGAGATGAAAGGAAGTCTTTCTTCTCAAAATGCATAATGAACTTGTGGAACACTGCCAAAGGATGTAGTAATGGTTAGGAACTTACGTGTCTGTAAACAAGATTAGACAATTTAACAGAGAGAAATAGGTGATGGCCACTGTTCCCTCTAAGCTGAGTTAGTGTGAGCTAGCTCACAATTTCTTAGCCTCTGGCTCACACATTTTTGTCTTCGCTCAGGAAGGAGGGCTCCGGAGCAAACTAATTTATGCAGCAGCCAGGTCAGTTGCTCACAACTTTAACGCCAGTAGCTCACAAAGTAGAATTTTTGCTCACAAGATTCTACAGCTTAAAGGGAACATTGGTGATGGCCAAAGTGGAATCTCTATGGAGTGTCTGAGCATCAGTTGCTGGGAGCTAGCTGCAGAAGGTTGTGGCCTTCGTGCCCTACCTGGGATCTAGGAGCCCTTGAAAGGCGAATACTGAGCAGACGGAAAATGGAAGCAAGCAGATCTAGACCAGGGTTTCCTTCTACTTTTGCAAGATCAAGCCATGGTTCTGTACTAGGAACATGGTTAGACATGATGCGTGAAGCTAATGAATGGGACTAGCTGTTGCAAGCTAAAGGCCCATAGCTACCAGGGGTCCTGGGGGGTCGACACCCCTCATGAATGTGCCATGCCCCCTCCTGCCCCTCCTCCCCCCGACCATTCATCCTGGGAGGGGAGGGGTTGTCGACATGGCGCTCCAACTTGGCGGGGCTGTTCGCTGCCTTCTCAGCAGCACTTCAGTGGCCAAGCAAAGTTTAAAATATTCCACACAGGCATGCGCTGCCCGCACCCCAAGAGGCCGCCTGCAAGACCTGCCAGCAGTCAACAAGCCTCCCCACTCAGAGGGAAGAGCTGCCTTTCGTACCCACTCCCCGGTGACTGCCAGGGAGGAAAGCGACCCAACAAGGCAAGAGTGCCCAGCGAGCGGCATCTGCAGCAGCCATCCCAGTCTAAGGCTGGAGCATCCTGCCAGGGCTGCATCTGACCCCAGGAAGCAGCTTCTTTTCCAGCCGCGGCTTCTTCTCCCCTCCCTACGTGTGTCTCTTTCCTTCCTTTGCCCTGATTCCCCAGCCTTTGCAAAGCTAGGCAGAGGAGACGTGCTCGCCTTGCCAGCTGCTGCCCCTCCCTTCGCCCAGCCCCCCACATCACTTCCGGAAGTGACGTCGTCATGTCGGAGCACGTCCCCCGCGACCGAAGAGTGTCTAGCTACGGGGCTGCTCTGCTGTATGAGCTCATGGTTTAAAAAGGAAAAGAGCTCTGGGACAGGAATGGAAGTTTAATATCCTTCCTCACACTGCATCCCACCACCCCTCTATTAAAAGCCCTTCCAGCCACAGAGATGAAAAGGCACAGGCAGATTCTGCTGAAAGATTTTAAAACCAGATTCTGGACCAGTATTCCCTCTAAGCTGAGTTAGTGTGAGCTAGCTCACAGGTTTTTAGCCTCCAGCTCAGAGATTTTTGTCTTAGCTCAGGAAGGACAGCTCCAGAGCAAACTAATTTATGCAGTGGTCAAATAGTCTGCTCACAACTTTAATGCCAGTAGCTCACAAAGTAGCATTTTTGCTCACAAGGCTCTGCAGCTTAGAGAGAACATTGTTCTGGACATGAACAGCTTCTGCACATTTCATTCTAACAGCACAGTTTCCTGCTGCATAATTCAGAATGCTCTGCAGTACAGCATTCTACACTGTCCCCAGAATTGCGTAACCATAGCACATCGTGAGACATCACCACCACTCCTTGGCCAGCAAAGCCAACTGGTGTTCATACTTGGCACATAGACAATGTGGTAGTTCTTCCTTTCCTACCTCTCCAGTCACTTTGTACTTTTTCAAGACAATGCCAGTCTCACAGTTGACCAGACAGACAGAGTCCCCGCCACAGGTAGCTGCTGTCCTGGATGAGCTCACCACTGGATCTACAAAAATTAAGGACATGGTGACTTTCACCTGCATGTTTTCATTCAGGCTCAATTCTATACTTGGAGACATGGGAGAATGTACGTGTGGCTCTCTCCCCACCACGATTATCTGTAGAATATTTTTAACGTGCGAAGCCATATACCATCTTTCTCTGATTTGTTCTCACTGACAAGCAATCACATTTAACCCCATTAAACAAAGGCATTGAAGCAGACAGTTGGTGAGTCGGTGACTATGCTTTGTCCGTCAGGACACAGAGTCTCTCTTATTTACATCTTCTTTACACACTGACTGGAAATTTTATTGCGGCAAATACAAGATGTATTAAACTCCTGGGTGCAAGAATGTAGGTGTTCTTCATCGCCTGAAACAACCATTTACACCCTGAATACAAAACACTATTGGAACAGCTCCACACAAGACCTATGTATTTGTTGACATCCTTTGCACTATGCTTTCTTTCAACTGTCTGCACAACACATTAAACCTTAAGAAATTACAGTAAGGTGGAATTTTATCAGGAACATGTGACATGCCTATTATGATGTGGTGAATCTGTTGTTTGATTGCTATTCAGTGGCTAGGGGTGGATCTTCTCCATCCTTAGTGCAAGCCCTGCTGTTCTGTGACTCACTCTGACATAGCACAAACTATACCCTGCTGTGAAATGGACACAGTTACTTTACGGTGTGTAACTGGATTTCGAGAAACTACAAGACTAGATCTAACCAATAAATGAGATCGTGGCATCCCAGGGGTTGGGGCTCCCTGGAAAGGTCACAGAGATGGGTCACAAAGGACCATCACAGACAACCAGGGAAGACCCCAGAAAGCTAGACGGGTAGCCGTCCAGTGGCGAGAGTCTGGCCAGGAATACCCACAGCAGGATGCCACGGTTACATGGGGCAATGGCATCCCATTAGGGCTGAAGGCTCATAGGGGCAGGGCTCTGGAGAGGCAGAATGGGACCAGCTATAGAGATGGACAGTTAAGCTGATGGTACAGAGGACTTGGGAGCTAGCCCAGGATTGAGGTAAGCATGAGCTACTGGAAAGAGAGGCCGCGGGAACTGGGAGGAGGGAACTGAACAACTAGTCAGGCATGCTGGGAGACAACTGTCCAACTGGAAAATTTAATCAAGGATGAGAAGTTCTTGGTAGGGCTCTGCCTCTTTGTTGGGATGGAGCCCAGCCCCCCACCCCACCCCAAATCTGCTGCGGGCCTCCTGTTGCCAGTGCCACATGTACCTGCCCCTGACCCAAAAGCCCTTGACTGAGATAGTCATTAGCTCCTTCCACTTTCCCCTTAAATTGTGAGCCCATTTGGGAGAACAGTCTGGTCTACAGACCACTGAGCCCTTGGGATACAATAGGCTGCACCATGGAATTGGTCAATGAGTAAACACATTAGCAGTGGGATAGGTTCAGACAAAAGTTTTCACTTGATCTCACACAATTCTCGTCTTTATTACAGCCCCCATCCCAAATGGGAGTAATCTATAAAGGTCCCAGGATCCCCAGGACAGCCTTTTTGGTGGTCAAAGGGGACTCCTTCCTTCCTTTTTTAACCAGTGGGAAAACTGGCTGGACCCAACCCAGTGTCTGTTAAAGAACCAGAGAGCAGGACTGCCAATCATGAGAAATGTCTGTGCATCCCCCCATATAAAGCATCTGCCTTGCCTGCTCTGGCATTTCTCATTCTGGGTCTACATCAACCAAACTCACCTTTTCTTGTCCCACAGTCCAGCGGCGGCTCAAAGACACAGGCCCACAGCTGGGTTTTGAAGTCATCCCTATTGTTTCCTTTACTGTGACACTGTAGAAAATGGACAGGCTCCAGGCTGATTGTCTCCTGCAAAGAAGACAGGCTGCTTGAAACACAAATCCCAGAGCCAATGGCAGAAATATGCATGTTTCATTATATGAAGGAGTGATCTTACAAAAAGCAAGAAGAGACCCTGCCTAGATCAAATCAAAAGTCCAACTAGTGCAACATCCTATAGTGTCACTTGCTCTGAGCCCACGGGACAGGACACATTCACTTCATTTATACTCCACTTTCCCTCCAATGTGGACTCAAAGTGGCTAACAGCATTCTCCCCTTCTCCTCACATCCACCATGTGGTAGAGGTTAGGCTGAGTTTGTGACTGGCCCAAAGTCACCCCACAAGCTCCCATGGCAGCGTAAGGTTTTCTGGGACTAGTCTGACACTCTAACCACTATACCACACTGTCAAAGGACCTGACCCCAATGGCCCAGGCTAGCCTGATCTCATCAGAGCTTGTGAGCTAAGCAGGGTCTGCCCTGGTTAGCTCTTGATGAGAGACCACCAAGGAAGTCCGAAGGAGCCATGCAAAGTCAGGCCACAGCAAACCACCTCTGTTCATCTCATGCCCTGAAAACCATGAGGGGCTGCCATAAATCAGCTGCAACTTGACAGCATTGTATCCTCCCTCATGGTCTAGTAGTTAGGGTTCAGTGCTCTCACCACCATGGCCCGTGTTTAATTTCCAGGGAGGAAAGTTGTGTCTGCCCTGACCTGGATAGCACAGGTTAGCCAGATCTTGGTAGATCACAGAAGCTAAGCAAGGCTGGCCCTGGATGGTGCTTCGATGCAAGACCACCAAGGAAGTCCAGGGTCCCTTCACAGAGGCAGGCAATGGCAAACCACCTCTGTATGTCTCTTGCCTTGAAAACTCCACGGGGGATCACCACAAGTTGGCTCTGACTTGACAGCACTTCACACACACAAAACTCCCCATCCTTTCCTCTGTTGTTATGAATCAACTGCTGGGAGGAAGGGGGAACAGAGTGGGTCTAGATTCAGTCACACACACCCACACACACACACACACACACCATTCCTGCAACCCTACAATTGGTGATGTCCAAGATGGTCTCGCCCACCCTCTCCTAGGACATGCATATGTGTTCAAATATGCTGAGACGGTAAATCACACATGAGATGGTTTCAAGTAAATAAGATGGTATTCTCACAACATTAAACTATATATCACAGTAATTTCTAGTAGGACATATGTGAATCTAAGAAACATTCCCTGTACATACAAAAACAGCACTTTAGGGACAACTCAGGCTAGACTAGCTTGCCCAGACACTAATCTTCTATGGGAAGGGATTTTTTTTTTAATGGAGTGACAGGAAGGCCTGACGCAAGTTCATCACTGCAGGGAGAATCAGGCCTCTGAGAATGAATGTATCTGGCAGCAGATTCTGATACATGATTTGATCTCTTTTGACCAGTGTTTTACTATACATCCTAAATGTTCCAGTTCAAACAACTGGTGATTTATAAAAGTTGACCCATTTTAAAACAGCAGGAGCAAATTATTTATCTTAGTATTTGATGGCTACTATAAAAGGGTTTTTAATAGCCGCTGCCACCACCCCAAACATCAGGATCTCTTGACATACTTCAGACAATGAACTAATTATTCCCAGTTGTCATTTCCCCCACACACGTTTGTCAATATGGCCCCCTCATTGTTTTCAGGCTGCTGCTGCTTTCTGCAAGCCAATGAAAACAATGGTCTTAAAAAGGGAACTCTAGCAACTCTCCAGTCCCAGCAAGCTCTCCAGCAGAAGGCTATCCTTGTACCTCGCCTTCCAAGTCCTTGACTGGGCTGCTACAAACATCTTTCTCATCCTCCTCCTCCTCTTCCTCCTCCTTGTCCTCTTTCTGCTGTCTGGACCTTTTGTGGCTATGTGCTTTAGGAAGGCGCCCTCCGTTTCGATGGGCCCCTTCTGGATCCTGGGCTGTCTGGGATTCCTTGGTCTGCAGGCGAGATGCTCTCTGCTCCTCGGGATGGCGCTCGTCCTGCAGGCGGCTGGTCTTCTTGGGGCTGGGAGATGGTTCCTCCTTAGAGCTGCTCTGGGAATGTGATCTTTTGCTTGCGGATCCTCCTCTGGAACGAGCCCCTTTCCTCTTGCTGGGGGTTACTGTGCCCTAGGAAGGGAAATAGCAAGGAAAATACAATGGGATGCAATCTTGATAACTTTAGCTCATTAATTCTTGCAACAAAGCAAACAGATTCACTGCTGTTAAGAGTAAAACCAGTTTTACAACTTGCTCAACTAGCCACATCCCTCTAGCATAGGGGAAGGGCTATGGCTCAGTGGTAGCATTTCTGCTTTGCATGCAGAAGGTCCCAGGTTCAAGAGACCCTGGGCAATGTTCACTCTAAGCTCCACAGCGTTGTGAGCAGAAATTCTACCTTGTGAGCAAAAAAAGCTAGTAGCATTAAAGTTGTGAGTGAGTCTACATTTGACTGTTGCGTAAATTAGTTTTTTAGAATATTATTTCCATAACCTTGTAAAAAATCTCAGAATACTTTTACATTATATTTAAACTATCCCAAATCACAGCCCCATCAGGAATTTTTCCCTGAAGGAGTTAAGAGAATTCTGCATTTGGTATCGCACACGTGTATGTCCCACAGACTGGGAATGGAGCAATAAAGGAGCACACTGACAGAAAAGCACAGCATCCAAAGCCCCAGGGCCACACATTCCCTCCAACCCAGGAGTAAGCACCTAGTCAACTGCATATTATGTGACCACGGTAAAGTATTGTCAAATGTTCTCTGAAACCAAGAATGCCTCTGTGCGGTAGCAGCTTCCCTTGATTTTCCTCTTGTGTCAACTGTTAGGAGGCAGAAGGTTACAAAGCTCTTCCTGCTGGCCACCTGCTGGAACTGTAGAGAGTTGCAGACAGGGAGAATTGCCCAGTTGCTGACTCAGCACTGGGCTTGTTTTTCTCTCTCTCTCTCTCTCTCTTTTTGGTTTTAACTCGGTGGACCCTAGGGGATGCAGGATAAAAGCCAAAGAGAAGAACTGTTTAGTGAGTCATTCAGACAAATAAAACTCCTACCTAAAACTGTAAAAAGTTGCAATAATTCACTGTAGTTTTCAAAAACTTCATTTCATGATTTCATAACAACAGTTAATTTGCTTTTGTAATTAGCAAATATACAAAACATGTTGATGCTTAATTTGTTTTTGTTCTAATAAAGTTAATACTTCAAAAACACTTGATAATATTTGACAGTCAACTGATCAACCCTCCCAGCAAACACAAACACCCCTACACCTTTCCTGTCACCAGCAATGATACCAAAGAATTGTGCATTGTCGGAATGAGGATTTGCTTTCTAAATAAAGGAAGGAGATTAAAGAGAAGAGCTTGAAAATGAAGAATGGAAACGCATTTGTACGTTGGCATCAGGTCAGATTTTTGAATCCCAACACCTCTAGTCTGATTAACTGATTTTATGTTATTAACTTGCATAATTTATACCTTGCTCTTCTCCCAAATGGGGTGTACATTTTTCTCCGTTCCTTCATTTGATCATCACAACAACCTTGTAAGGTAGGTTAGGCTGATAGTGTATGACTAGGCCAAGATTGCTTTTTTTTCCCCTGCTAAAAAGAAATTAACAGTTGGATACTCTTTGTCAAATGGAGAGATCATCATCAGGTGTTTTTTGTTAGGAACTGAGTCTTGCTTGTCAATTTGAAAAGGTCATGCAAAAAAGGAAAGAAAAGAGCTGTGCATATGCACTAAGAACCAGAATTACAAAATTTACAAGATTCAATGTTGTATTGTAACACAAATTCAACAATCATATACATGTGTGGAAAGAGGTCCAAAATGGTAGAGTTAACAAAGTTTTCCAGATTACAAAGTCATTTTGCAATCTCCATCCGAACGGATGAATAGGTCAACTTCATTAAATTGTTATCTCGTTAGCTTGGATATAACAGTATAAATGGCAAGTGAAAATTAGTTTCCAGATGACGGCAGAGGGGATTTTCTGGCACGGTTTCTACACACAGGGTATAAGGCTGATTGAAGGAAGATTCTTTGATCCTGTGTGGAAGATTTTTTTGACTTGAAGATAAACTTTTTAGGGAAAAGTGTTAAGTTAGCCTATCTAGGTGTTTTTTTGTTTGTTTTATGTGTGTTGGAGTCTTGTGTAAAGTACTGATATTTTTCTTTTTGTAAAATAAATCTCTCTCCTGTTTCCTGTCTTAAGGAAAGCTGTCAGTCAGTCAGTCGGTTTATTATTACAGTCACCAACCAGTACATATCAATTTGAAAGACAAACAGAAAAATTCTCAACAGTATCGTGGCTGGGTATGAGCCAGAAAAAAACCCTTAGTAACATAAAAACCTGTAAGTTATATAAAACAAATAAGGGGACCTGCAATACTCGCGGGGGG